GCTATAATGTCCAGGAATCATTCATGCAGAAGGGATGAAGGGAAATGGCATAAGAGATGGGATGCAGGCAATTGTGTTTTTAAATATATGCTATTAAATGTTTTGTCTACATTATAAAGATAGATTTATGTTCAGTTAGGCTTTTGTTATGAAATGCCACCTCAAACCTTTCAGCATGGCATATGGCTACAGAATATTATTCCAGTTGTGGATAACCCCTAAGCAGGATATTCCAAGAAGACCATCTCCCAGAACACTGAACAGTATTTGTATGTATTTTATGCTGTTTTCTCTTTATTTTTTATCTCTTGTGGCTGTGAAGTGCGTTGGGCAGCTGGTGTTGTTGTAAAGGTTCTATACAAATAAATCTGACATTGACTCTCATTAAAAGGCAAGAACACCATTGAACGAACTGTTGAAGGTGCTGAAAATGACCGTTAAAAGGAACTACAGCTATAATCCTAATGTATTCCAAACAAACAAAAAAATAATAATTTACTTAGACTTAGACTTGGAGTTTATTGATCTACAAGCTTAGTTGGACAAAGTAGCTCACAAAAGTACACATTAAAAAGTGTCAAGGGGGATATAAATAAAATATCTATTTCAGAAGCTCCTGGGTTCCATTCCCCATCCAGACAGGGCTGTTCTGTGTGGAGCTTCCATGTTCTCCCCATGTCTACATAGGTTTCCTCCGTGGACTCCAGGTTACCTTAACCACACCTGTAAAATAGGTCCGGTATGTGCTTCCCAACACTGTGTAGAGTGAGAGGAAAAATGGCCACTTTTGTAATGCATTTTGTGACTAAGATTAGTAAAGATGACCTAATATCATACACTGCTATCTCATCGAATATCAATGGACCTGTCCTTTGGGTAAAGTAGAACCGGAATCTGTATCTTTTGAAAGAACCAGGCCAAGCTAAAGTCTGTGTTCCCCATGTGTACATAGTTGAGCCTCTGTTTAAAATGTATTCTCATCAAATAATCTTTTTGCCCATTATGTTGGCGGCTTACGCTGCGGACACCTTGTAGTCATTCGGCTAATTTCCTCCTGTCTATCCCAAACCTCCTATGACTGATGACTGGCAATTACGCTGCTTACTTTCCATTTAGCACAGCGACCGGACTCTTGTGTTTCATTCATGTTTTGTGCGCCAATCTTCCTCCAACAATGAGTTTGTTTGACAACCGATTTTCGAAAATGGCTTTTTTATTGTCACCTCATGGCGCTGTCTGTCACACTCTCCATGTGAACAGTTGGATATTGACCCCACAATCCGTTGCCTCGACTCTTGGAAGAAACAAAGACTTCAAAAGCTCGGAAATCAGTCACGAATCTTCATAACAAAAAACAACAGTCAAACATCTGTTGCGCCAAAGGACAATCAGAATTTGCGTTGGATCGGAGTACACTGCTGCCATTTGATTATATACATTCTTGTTGCTAATTTCGCAGAGTTGATAGAAGTGTGGTGGTTTGAACGCTCCATTTGCTAGTGTTTACATGTGCTTTCTCAAAGGATTAATCAATCAATGAAGGAACAAAGCGCTCTGAGCTCTCCCAAGTCTATTTATAGATTAACGCCACGGGTCAGTCATGACAATCTTGCAGTGATTACCGAGTCAAGATTGGGTATTAAAGATAATTGACTAGACCAGAGGGTGACATGGATGCAAAGACGCTATACTGCTGCTACTCGATTTCCATGAACAGTACATGAGGCAATTTACAGAGCTGAATGAATATGAAGAAAGAAAAATCTACATATTCAAATGATATGGTATATACTGATACACTCTGGCCATTCTGACATGTAACCAAAAAGAGTGTTAACAGATGAAAAGATATGGGGCTGAACCAGGATTGAAAGATGTCTAAACAAATAATGACCGAACTAGCAGTGGGCCAGGAGTAAGTAACTGAGTATTATGTATTTATATAGCGCTTTTAACAGACAGGGGCCCACAAAGTGCTTTAAAATGCTGGTGTGTTTTTCATTCCCTCCACTTGAACAGACCCAAAGACCAGTGTGCCATTATATACACCCTATTGTAGTGGTTTTTGACTTAACTAAATGATTTCTGGAGGTGGCAGTGAGCATTGGCCTTTGAGTGGGTTCGAGCTTGCCATAAGACCTCCTTCTCGAGTCCCACTGATGTCTTCTGTCCTTGGGCAAGTCACTTAACACCATTTTGCCTGAAGCACGAACAGTTAATGGGTCAATTCAATGTTTCAAATCAATGCTTTTTCTTGCGTCCAACAAGACAGCAGTGTTTGTCTCGAAGGGCATCCCAGAATAGTTAATGCAGATTAGAAAATCATATAATAAAATATCAAAAAGATCAGAGAATCAAACAAGAAAAAAACAGTCACCGGTCCACAATGACAAGCAGTTTAACCAAAGTAGATATTTCAGCAAAAGGTCACGGAGAACCCCATGTGTGAGACCCTCCTTCCACCTTCTTCTGAGGAGTTATTGAGTTGTTTATTGTTTTTTTATTTTCATTTTTTATTTTTTTCATTTTCAGTGTTTGTTTGATAGTTTTGACTCTATGAAGTGTTGTCATCCCTAATTTCCATCCATTGTCCCACAGTCACACTCAAACACACAAACACACTCATTCACCCTGAACCATGGTACATGTTTTTAGGGGTAGTGGAGACCGTAACACCTGGAGGAAACTTTCGCAGACAATGCAAGTACACGCAAACTCCACACAGAAAGACGCTGCCTCCACACAGAAAGACAGTGCCTGGATTGTTCTGTTATTACTACTAATAGACAAACACTGCCAGCACCAGAAACAATATTTCTCAACAATAAACGCACCCATGATTGAATTAATGTAATGGGAAATTGTGAAAGATTAGGCACAAAACAAAAACAACATCTGCAGAAGTACCACCAGAACAAATGCTACTGGCTCCACACACACTGCACACATTATGCAGCTTATGTGATATTTTGTTAAGTTAAAACAACCACGGATTCAAAACCATCTTATTTGGTTTATATCTTTGTACGTTTGGGGCGATGTTGCTGCGTTGGCACCTCTCCCGGCTCTCGTCTAATGATTCACAGCCTCCGCCAAAACATAAGCGAAGCATTTGGAGCCACTTACAAGCCTCAAACGTATAGGAATCGCCTGCATTATTTCACTGGACACTTGAAAAAAGACCAGCCGACACTTTCTACAAATTGCACAATCGCCGCTAGTTTGTTTTGGCAGCGATGTCACTATGTTTGGAGCTCAGAGCTGGAGCTGTCATTGGAGAGAAATACATAGCTGTACACATAAGAACGACGTGTGTAATGATCGTGTTATTAGAAAGCGGAAATAGCAACATGTTTGAAATGCTTTCTGCAGGTCGCTTGGTTTACTTTGCTTTTGAACATGGTGCCAAGAGATTCTGTGTTGTATCAGAAAGTGGAAGTGAAGGATTTTTGCCGTCTGATAACAGTCCATCTGACTTAAGACACAATCAAGTTTGGCTTTAGTTGCAAAGATTCAAAGATCTATGATTATTTTATCCATTATTTATAAAGCAATGAAGCCAACTGTTGAGTTCTAATTGCATTCACATTGATAATACTCAACGAATTCATTCTTTAACTAAGGTATTATTGAAAACATATGTTAAATGTGGAACAAATGAGGATTTCTATCAGGGCCTTTATGAAAAAAGGTGCTGGTTATAGATGTGTTGTTGACAAAACTCTTGTCTATTAAACTATTATGGTCATAGCTGGATTCGTCTGCATATCTGGCAACCTGAGTCAGGGGTTACTGCACCACTTTTGGCCAGATTTTTACATACTGCTCCTTTAACCTGTTTGCTATACAAAGAAACTTGCCTTAAAGGATAAAGGATCTCTTCATCTCAATCTTTTTATCTTCATATAATACATTTCTCTCAATCCTGTAACTCCAAATCCTATAAATCTAATGTTTTATCACCAGAATACTCAAAATAAGTCTATGTCTATCAACTTGGCGGCAAAAGAACAGCCCTGTTTGAGAGGGGGTGTTGTGGATGTGTCAACGGCCTTGAAATGGATTGGACAATGACAAATACAATGCATCTGTTCATGTCCAAGACCAGAATAAAGACATAAATATTAAACAAGACATGCTTTGAACAGCGGGAGCAGCTTCCTCTGCAAGAAATATAGCCTCAAGTGATGTTCGCGGATGTCCATTTGTTCTTCCATACGGATACAAGACCCTAACCAAAATGCCATGTGTATAAGGGAATTATTCTGGTCATTTCATGTGCAGTAGAATGAAACCCATATTTTTTAATCCATATCTATTCATCCTTTTCCACTCACACATTTCTGTACGATGAGTCAAAACAGCAGATATCTCATGGATTTAAACTGAAGCTCTTTTAGTTTGGATCATGAAAGCAGTAATTTGAACTGTTCATTTTACTCTAAGGCCATTATTGACTCCAGTGTGACCAGAAAGATGTGTAAGGAGGCTTGAACCAAACACCCTCCACAAAACTTTAGAATCTGTGGACTGCAGTAGTGGCTATATTTTGGAATTTGAATTACCTCAATCTTTTGTTTTTGTAAAAAATTATTAAAGTTCTAACTGTGCTGTGTGTTATCACTGATCACAATATTCACCTTAACAAGCTAACATCAAACACTAGGGGTAGGACGCAGCATTACATAATAACCACCACCATCTTCCATCTACTTTAGTTGTTGGAATTCTGAACGTATTTCAAATATTTGTCTTGAGTTATGTTGAGCTTCTTTCTGCTAAATCTCCCTCCAATATTTTTGCGTTTTTATTGGACCCTTGATGGGAGGAGCTGGGAGAGGCATTGTACAGCAGGTAGAGGCTTGTACAACAAAAACGTTTTGCTAGGATGGGACCGCAAAACACCTGAGTGAAAGTTAAAACCACTTCATGATGAGGAAGTAAAAATGAAAGATGAAAAAAAGCAGAGAACTTTAGGAGAACTTTATCATTGTACTCACTGTCTAAACATTGTGCGCAGACAGTCTGAGTAGCTCCGCACTTGGTTAAGACGCCCTCTCCTGGCGGACACTCCTTACAGCACTCTCCATCGTCTGTGTACTGTCCCGAGTCACATGACAGCAGCAGGGCCCGCTCCGTCTTTGTCGTATCAAACAGCGCCACCTACAGAGCACAAGGGAACGAACAAGCACAGATGTCACCAATGACGAATATTCACAAAATGCTGCACATCAGACAAAGGAATATGCACTCAGGAATCATAGAGATGACCAGCTTACAAAACCAGACAATTATTGACTCCAAGAATAAACAAATGCTCTCTCCCACTCTCGACGAGGGCAAAAGTCCAACACAATCAGGCGCCCAGTGGTGGGGGGCATTGTTTGCTCAGGTGGAGATGGAAGACCGGGTCCAGACCAGGACCAGGGGCCAGACCAGTCCCAGATCTGTGACGTCATCGGACCCTTTGATAGAAACTGCTGGGAGGAGATTGTCAGTCAGTCAGCCGAGGGCCAGAGAGAGGGACATGCATAGTTTTAGGAGCACATTTTTGTTGAATATTCTGTATCTGATTGTAAAGATAATTAAATGCAGATGTTAAACTTGGAGAATCTTTTTGTCTGATTTCTGTATCAAATTGTGGACACGTTAGCCAAAGGGAATTATTTGGCTACATTTGGTGACCCGAGACGTGATTTGATACAGAAAGAAGACGGAGATGAGCTCAGTTATAGAGACTGGATTTGTGGGTTTGGAAAAATCTCTCTGCTCTTCAAAAAGGTCGCTTCTAAGGTAAGCGGATCACAGTTTTGAAAATCTGCACATTGTTTTAAATAGAAGAGAGAGAGATTTTGGCTCGACAGATTGCAGCGTGGCCAGACGACCGCCGTGACGGGGCGTTCTATCGGACGCGATAGAACAATAGTCAGGTTTAGACGTTTTTAGCCTTGGGGGAAGCATTGGTCCCTCCTTAAAAAAACAGAACATAGATGTTGAAAAGAGAGCCACAGGATTTATAAGTGCGAAAGAGGCACACCGTTTTAAGGTGCAAAAGAGGCACAAGTGTTTAGATAAATAGGATTAGAGAAATAGGGACAGTTAGGGTCAGAAGTGATAGGATAATAAAACCTTCTATATCCCCCGGGGGCGGAAAAAAGGGTACAATTAATTTAAACAGAAGAAAAGCCAAGTATTTAAAATGTGGATTCTGATAATAATGATCTGATTAATGAGGAAAAAGAGAGCCTCTTGGCTGTAGTATACGAGTTTCATGTGAAGAAATGATCAGTTATGGAAGTTTTTCTCTTATTCTGATGTAATGTTTAATAGTTACAGAGAATCAAAAAAAAAGAGATTCTGCTGGGACTGTTAGACATGTAAGCAAATAGTAATGTTTTCCATTACTGACGTATTTAAGGATAAAATGTAAAGTGTCGTTTGACGTGAGAAAAACTTTTATACACACAATAATGTTACTGACATGGAGTCATAGGATCACAGAACTTTGAGTTAGATTATAAAGAGGCATTATTTTATTTTTTATTTTTTATCTCCAAGGCGTCTAGACAAGTTTTTTTCCCTACATTTTGGTGATATAAAAGTTAGAATGATCTTAGAGAGCATTATACTTTTGGAAAAATAGGGCTTAGGATAGCAGTTGAATGCAGATTTGGTTTTCAGAATTTAATGTCTAAAATGTTAATATTAATTATTTCATAGGTTTATTTTGAATTGTAATTAATCATTGGTTTCGTATGGTAATTAACACACTTGTTTTTGTGCTTCTTGTTTGTCTGTTTTTTCCGAGAAAACTTCTGTCTGTTTCATTTGGCCAAAAATCGTCTCTGCCACAAACCACAATCGAGCGCCATCAGCACGGACCATCAGCGTCTCCCCCAGACCCACAGGGGGCACCAAAGACAGCAGCATCGGCTGCAGCAGCTAACAGGAACTCTCGAAGAAGACTCCTCCAGCCCCATTTCATGGAGAAAAACCAGACTTTTGCACAAACCGAGTGGAGTTATGTGCACGGAGAAGAACGTTGTGTAAACCTAACAAGAAGAAGAAGGACACACACTGAGACAAAGAAAGACATGAGAAAGTGATTGAAAGAAGAAGAGAGAAAGTGATTGAAAGAAGAAGAAAGAAAGTGATTATTGAAAGAAGAAGAAAGAAAGTGATTGTTTAAAGAAGAAGAAAAAGACATTGAGACAAAGACATTGGACACTTTGAGACAAAAGACATTGAAAGACGCCATGAGTAAAAGAAAGACATTAACGGACATTTGAGACGTGGCTGGCCTAAATGAGACACACAGAAGGTAAATATACAGACAGGCAACAAACGCACAGAGACATATTAAGTCATATTTACACATTTAGGTCATTCGTTCATAACACCACATTTAGCTGCATGAAAGAATACAGGACAATCGTTAAAATTAATTAGACTCTTGCTTTAGCATGAGACACAAGGAGATTAGAACAGCAGTATATTTAAAGTAGAGGAGCTCTATTATTGAAACTAGTATTATTATTTAAAGTTATAGACGCGGAGAAGTTTAGAATTATTGATTTTGACTGCATGATCTTGGTAATACGGATATTTAAAGCAGTGTTTTCAACCTCTGAACCGTGGCTCGTTAATCATTTAAAAACAATCACATGCACAGTTGAAACTGGTGCTAGAAAGAGAACTACAGCTTTTAATGGACGCTGCATTTGGTACAAAATGGTTTGTTCAGACAATTAAAGTTTGAAAAATGATTTAAAGCATTTCTGAATTTTGGCTAAAGGTGATATTGGATCATTTCTGATAACACATAGACGCAACACTGTTCATTGGTTGAAAACAAAGATGTAGGGACATTTTTTGAAATCTTTTATGACATGTTTCTCTTCCAAATAGCTAAATTAGAAACAATTAGGACAATTATGTCTTTGATAACTGTTGGCAGTTTTATCTGAGACATGATTGGTGCAAGTACACACACATAAAACAATGGTCTTTTCTCCACATGAACGTGAAACAAAGGTGAAGTATTAAAGTTTGAAACTAATTTACATTTTTAAGGAATCCGAACTGGCTTTAAAAAAAAAAGGGAAAAACATTTATTGCACGTGCATGAGTTTTTTTTTTAAGTAACAAGAGCTCATTAAAAATATAGGGGACACAGTCTGTGACAAGCCCGAGTACAGACCACGTGGTTTAAACACTAAAGTTTGAAATGGATCCTTGTAGGAAAAAATCTATTAAAAGCTCTGCATATTTTGCAGGCTCTGAAAGTTGCAACAATAGAAATAGCTCATGAGACAATTGTAATTGGACATGGAAAAATATAACAAAGTTAAAACTACAGGCCTTCTGTGTTATATGTTTGTGTGTGCTATATGTTTGTGTGTGTTATATGTTTGTGTATGTTATATGTTTGAGTATGTTATATGTTTGTGCGTCATGTCAATTGCACTACGTTGACCTTAACAAACTCTGGACCAAAATACTAACGTGGGGAGTCGGCCTGAGTGAGTGATGCGAGTGTGGAGTGAAAATGAGGAGTGAACGAGGAGTGCTGAACGGAATCATGGAATAACAAAAGTTTTTCTGTAATGTTTTAATGTGATCATGGAATAATTATGTTTTGTCAACAGCATACGGTGTAAGTACTAGAGATTCAAAGATAACAAGCTTTATTGAACAGGTGTAAAAGTGAGAGTACTCTGGGATGAGTACTCTGAGAAAAGTACTCTGAGAAAGTACTCTGAGATGAAATACCTTGCTGAAGGTACTGGGAGTCCCCCCCTCTGCTGTTTGTCCTGACAGTGATTCGGTCCAACCGCAGTGAGCTGTCGTTGGGTTGAAGGACAACTTTGGTTTGTAACTCACATTTAGGGAGTATAAAATTAGAAACATACATTTTGTTAAGTCTGTATTCGGCTACAGCCTCTGCCCTGATGTCACACACCGTCTGTCAATGCAGTTATGTTTTGCCTAATTGGATTGATTGACAGGCTGCACCATGCGAAGAGAGGGAAGTGGGCGTTTCTTGTGTTCTAATGTTTGTTTTTCAGATGAAAGATAAACTGCACCTGCTTCAGGGATGACAGTAGTATGGATCATAAGGAAATGAGCCTCTGCTTTGGCACCAAAGCCCACAATATGAATTGAGGACGATCCGGGAGGAACAACTGGAGATGATGGGAACAGTAAATCTACACACACACACAGATGCATGTTTTATACTTTGGCCCATGACCAACAGAGGGGAGTATAGTAATGTTATTGTCATAGGTGGTCATGGTCCTTAACCTTCTAAATCATTAGAAAGAAGTGTAAAACATATATTTACAAGAACAAATAAATAATAGAAAGGGCAGCCTAAAAAAGCAAAATGGGAAAATTATTAAATAATTTTCGGAGTTGCCAAAATGGAATAAAATTCTATATTTGTCCCATAGGGGGTCATTCTAAATTTAGTGTTGTGCAAATTCAAAAGGAGAAATAATAGCGCTTATAACATCAAACAGATCTACTCTTTAAGATAATAGATCATAAATAATAATAGAATAGAATGAAATAGTCTGGAGCTGTAATGTCATTGGATTCAAGGAGCTATAGGTTAAAAGGTCGCTAGAAGAGGTGTCAGAATAAACAATAGTAATAATAGTTAGACTAGTGAATAATCATCCATCCATCCATCCATTTTCTTCCCCTTAATCCATTTCTGGGTCGGGGGGGGGGGGTGGCAGTCAGAGCTGCACCCAGTCCACAGAACACCAGCCCCTCACTGATCCTCCTGCGGTGGGGAGTCCACCGGAGGGAATAATCAAAATAGTTCTATTGTGGAAATAAGTATCAATAAGGTCAAATTGTTCTAATAACTAAAGTAAAAAGGAATCAAATGGAGTCAGATTTTAGATGTTTCTGTTTTCCACATCTGTAGGATCTAGTGCAGATGTGTTTATAGAGAGTAGTATTAAAATGCAGACATAGAACGACAGGGTTTAACAAAATTTTAAATCTAAAAATAGCTCAAATATAACATTGCTCTTGACGCAGCCTCTGAGCTGCTCCATTGGAGAACAGGTCAAATGTTATTGTTTATTACAAACAGCTGATGTATTTACACATATTAAGTTTGGGACAACTCTTTAAACAGTTATAAGCAGTGGACAGAAGCCAGGAATGTGCTTTTGTTTATTAAATAATTAAATGCATAGCCTTATAATCGTAGAGAACGTTTTAAAATAGTTAAAATCCCTTTCAGGCAACTTGATTTAGATGTATGTCTTTAATATTGGAGAACGACTGTGTTGTTTTTGGAATTGTCTGAAATACAATACATAAAATAGTGATTTGCAGAACAAGAACCAGCCAATGAAAAATCATCTATTGCCAATGCAATTGTTACAATCAGAACTCAAAAATTGGGAATATGCTTTGGCTCAAACTACAACCAAGATTTGGAGTCACAATAGAGTGTAAAATAGATAGATGCTTTCAAAAATAGAGATTATTTTTAGACAGGGCTAATATCAAACGGTAAAAAGACCATTTCCTTCATATTATGTCCAAAAGTATTTACTTCAAAGGTAGATAAAGTTCATTACAGTTTATGCACAGTTTTATTAGATACTGTCAAATTCACTTGTTTCAAACATCTGTGAATGTTGACAATGCGAAAAGTTCATGAGTGTAGCCTAGATTAATGTAGCTTAGTTTAATGAGATAGATTTATTAGATAAAAACATATGTTTAAGAATAGGGCTCAATAAAAGCAAAGATGCAAACATATTTGTAAATGGATTAGAATAGTTTAAACTATAGTGAATAGACTCAGTGCATACATTATAGACGAGGTTGATAAAGACTCAGAATGAGACAGCCGTAGTCATCAAATAGTATTGAAGGAATGGTTAAAATGTGGTTTGTTGTGTGTTGTTTGTTTTCCCTGTATTAACTCTTCACAGATATCAAGCCTGAACTAAGCACAAGTATTGATGATAAACGACGATGTGGATTGTGACCTAATTTTTAATCAGGTCAAAAGAGAAAACAGAAAACTGTTGTATAATTAAAATGTTGTATACTAATGATTTTCAGTAGGTGTTTGCATACCATGTCTTTGTGCAAATATTAAGCCCGGACCAGACCTCCCCCAGCCAGATAAGAGTTGTTTGGAGAAGGGCTTCTTCCTTATAAGGAAGAAGCTATAGGTTGGAATGTGTGAATCCCTTTTCGGCAGCCCCCAAGGACGAGGAGAGCAAACAGGAAGACCAGCCTCAGACCAGACCAGTCCCAGACCTGTGACGTCATCGGACCCTTTGATAGAAACTGCTGGGAGGAGATTGGCAGAAGAATCAGCCGAGGGCCAGAGAGGGACATGCATAGTTTTAGGAGCACTCTTTGTTGAATATTCTGTATCTGATTGTAAAGATAATTAAATGCAGATGTTAAACTTGGAGAATCTTTAGTCTGATTTCTGTACCAAATTGTGGACACGCCAGCCAAAGGGAATTATTGGCTACACCAAAGAAAGGAAAATCAGGATTTCAGAAAAGAAAGACAGGACAGGGAGAAAAAGTGTAATGAGGCCAAGCAATTGCTTACTCAGTTCTTCCACACGAGAGGTGAGTATATAGAGACGTGTTAAGGCCACATCAGGAGAAAACCCAGAGACATTTGTTTCTGTATTCTAAACTCACGGAGAGCTAACAGTGTGCTGTGTACGTGGTAAAAAAAAAACTTTATCCAGAGTGACACACACAGACGCGCAGCTGTAAAGGGAGCTCACACACACTGCTGTCCACTTCTCCTTCAAAGGCAGGCAGCAAAGAGTTATTTTCATGTACAACCCTGTACCCTATATTCCCACTATTGTCATAATCTGTCCGTCCGTGAGTCTTGCAGTCATAAGTCACGGGTCACTCACTGGCCTCTGCATTGGATCATCTGGTTATAACCATACAAATCCCACGCCCCCGCACCGATGTGGAGTTTTCTGGTGACATCTAGTGGTCAAAATAATGTAAATAAGTCTAATGGTCTAAAGCAGGGGTGCTCAATACGTCGATCGCGATCTACCAGTCGATCGCAAAGGTAGTATTGGTAGATCGCATTAAATAAATGAAAAAATTACACATTCTAAACGAATATATACAAAAAACTCCGGGCAAAGTGGAGATTTTTGAAAACTCCGTTAATGCATTTGTGTGTAGACAGAGATAACCGGAGTTTTGCGTTCTCGCACGCCACAGTACCCCCTTAAATTCTTCTGATCACTGAAGCATGGATCATACGACCTTAAAAATTGTCCGCTGTGAGATGCTCGCAGCAGCAAACATCCTCGCTCCACATCAGAGAGCAGCAAAGTGATCGCGGGGACTCACGCTCGAAAACAACCAAACCAGGACTAAACCAGGACTAAACCAGGACTAAACCAGGACTAAATCAGGGCTGAGGACGGGGTCAGTGCTTGTAAACATACGTCTTTAGTCTTCTATGACTGTAAAAGTGCCGTTACCGGCATCTGCATCAAAGCTCCGCCCACTTCTGTGTTTTTCCCCAACGCAGGACAGGACGTAAGAGACGCACATGTTTGGAATGTTACGAATGTGATTGATAACGCAGATGTGTGGATGCAAATTATTTTATAAACTGAGGAGGGGAAATATTTGGATTTAAAAAAAACCAGGCATGGCACATGGACATGGCACCACAGTAAAATTACATCTGTGTTTTACTCAGTAATGTTTTACTGACACTTAGGTGACTGCACATGCGCAAACAACCGCTCAGTGCAGGAAAGCTAAACCACGACAAACTTGTCAGCGAGTTACCACCAATTTTCCGGACTATGCATCCCTGGCCGATTCAATTCAGTGCAAGTCATCAGAGTAAACTCGGGTAATGACAAAAAATGTACATAGGTAATTGTGTTGTGTTGTGCTAAATTGGCTCATGCGGTTTTGCATGTACATAAACATACATTGTAGGTATAACGAATATTTTTTGAAATAAATATATGATTTGCATTTTTGTAGTAGGTAGATCATTTTGACTTGATCCTTTTATAAGTAGCTCGCATGCTGAAAAAGTGTGAGCACCCCTGGTCTAAAGGTTTCTAGCTCTACAATTATCTTAGTGTGTAAACAAGGGTGAAATGAGACTTTCTGGTGTGTAAACTATTGCTTTTAAGCCAGAAATGACAACTGACAATCACAGCCCAGACCATGCCCAATTGTAAGCCCCCCTTCTTCTCCACTGGTGCCATTTTTACAGAAAAATTTCAAATGTTCATGCGGGCGGAGTAAGGCTAGGCACAGGTGTTTAGTTGAAAATGGAATAGGCTTATTTCACATTTCCAAACATTCAGTCACCTTTGGAGCTGCTCAATGCAATACACAAAATGCAGCTAGAAAGTATTTTTGGGGAAATTTGTATTGGCTTGAGAATCTTTTGTACACTTCCAGTGACTGTTGCAGGAGGGGAACGTTCTTTCAGTAAGCTTAAACTTGTAAAGAACTATTTAAGATCCACAATGTCCCAAGAGAGACTGAACAGCCTTGCAATACTCTCCATAGAAAGTCAGTTGGCCAAAAACCTGGACTTTAAAGACCTGATCAGAAACTTTGCAAATGCAAAGACCCGTCAGTGGGCTTTTGATAAACATTGACCATACATTTATCTTTGTACTACATTGATGGTTCTCAAACAGTGTAGTTCTAGTTTTTGTTAAATGTTTACCTTTGTTTGGGCTTGTCCCTGTTAATAAAAAAAATGGACATGGTACTACTGTTATCAACCTGGTGAAGCCGTTGTTTGAAAATAAAGCAATGTTTATTGTATATACAGGCTACTCAATAAATTTTTTACATAAGGGTAATAAAAAATATTGTAAACAATATTGATGATAATAAAACCAAAGGACATGAATCAGAATTGTATTAACTAATCACGTTTCTTTTTATATATATATATATAATAATTTATAGTGGGGGCCCATTGAGACTGTTTGTACCCGGAGCCCAGAATTTGGTGCTACCCCCCTGCCTGTGAACGCATCGCACACACTGCTAGACATGAAACTTTACATACGCGCAAACCAACAAGCACGGCTGCAGTAACGGCTGCATCAACACTTCTGTACTGTATTAGGACAGAGTGCAAAATAAACATACAAACACAACCCATCAGTCTGATCATTTATTGTACTAATCCCGTCAGAATAGGGCTTATGCCAACACTACCTGTGCAGCAGCAATTTCTGCCCAATTCCTCTCCTTGTCATTTTAGTGATGATATTCTTTACACGACACGTCATACATACATTCACGGTGTTGCTTTCTAGTGCGCCATGCCACTGACTGTTTATTTTTATTTATTTTTTCTCGCCGGCTCGTCTCGTCTTCTGATTGGCTACACGCCGCAGTCATGGCAACACGCTCATCTGTCCCCGGGGGACACCACACACGAGGAGAAATCGGGCCAAAACAATCCAACATGTTGGATATCCCCGATATTGAGATCGGAACAGTCCCGAAGTCCTTCCGAGCGGCGAGCGCAGTCTTAACACACCACACATGACAGGAAAATCCATCAGACTTTTTGTTACGATATTCGGATCGTTCTTACGATTGTCGTAGGGGTAAATCGGGTCCAAACTCGGCCTAATTATCCTGCCATGTGAACCAGGCTTAAGTACCTATGGCAGTGCAAATTTTCAATTTTCATACATGTTGTCATTAAGTGACTTATTGTGTATTATGTTCCTTACTGTAAGGTTAAATAAGGGGCAGGGCCGTAAAACAGAGCCAGGCCCTGTTGTGTACACATTCGACCAAAAGGAGGAAGACGCCCCACTGCAGCTTCAAAGGAACAGCGAGGTCGGCCGGAGGACTATCATTGATCATGGGGATTACAGATGCCAAAAAGAGCAATAAAGTCACCACGGGGATAAGCACCTCTGTCTCTGCCTGCCTGTAGAGATCAAAGATCACAACCCTGCCCTCGCTCACAGACTCCTGCCACCGGACAATCAAAGACTCCCCCGCGGCGCTCTGACGCCCCCTTGTGAACAATGGACACTATCACACCCGGGACGGACAATTGCGAACCAGCACCCCTGGGTCCAGTACTCCAATAATCTGCATTGTGCCCCATATGTGTGTATCAATGTCAAAGTAATGAAATACGGTGTGTGTTTGTACATGTCTTATGATTATTAGCATCAATCCTGTGTGTTTCCTTTACAAACTGTCTGTTGTAAAAGGGGTCTGTCCACAGAGGGCAGGGGCGGCATGGACACGCCCCCTGGGAAGTCTATATGAGCACCCACACGCCATTGTTCTTTCTCTTGCCTTCTCCTGAAATCACTATTCCAACCTCCCTGGCCATCGGCGTCCCGCGGCACGTGTCTCCTACTACGGTCGCGCCAGCACGCATCGGGCCTTCTACTCCGCCAAACATACTCTCCTCTGGCTCGGGACCTTACGAACCATTTCATCACCAGCCTCTTTCCTTGGCTCTGGACTATACGCGTGCAGCCCATTCCGGACTGAGCTGCATACGCGTGGACCAGCAGCTGGACCAACTCGCTGGCTTTGTACCTCCCGCCTGCCCAGACAAAGGAACCACGTGGACTGATCCCCAACCCAAATCCTTTCTCCATCCTCTACGCTCCTTCAAAGTAAGACTGTTCCTTTGTTAAATGTATGATTTGAATGATATGTGTACAACTCCTGCTTTTAATGTGACCAGAAATCCCTTTTCGTTATATTTTTACCCTCATTTTTGTAATCAATAAACTACTTTTCTTTAACTCAACCCCTTCAGAGTCGCGTTGTTAGATCTCGGAATATCCCTGGCCGATAAAAGTACTCACTACCTATTAGATTTATAAGACTGACTCGAGGCAAAGTTGGTTTGGATCTGTGCAGTGTATCATACACTGCTGGTGCCTAAATAAATATAAAGCAGATCCCCCACTCGAATAGGACGGCCAGACTCTGATTTGAAGACTAGCCGCACTATTCTTCTCATAAAATAATCTGATGTATTATTACCCTACTATATATAAATATTACCCTACAGTATTGGTACCCTGTTTGTGAGATCCGCGAATATAGACCAGATTTATCGACTCGTACTCTGTGAATTGACCGGTTAATATACGCTAACTTAGACTGCTGCTCCGCTCACAGCGCTTCCCCCCACTCCCGCACCCCCTCTGTCCCTGCTACCCCCGTTGCTATAGTGACTTCAACGGCAATCGAGCCCCCCTACGCCCCACGCTTGCGATAAAAGCGTCTCGTGCATGCACCAGACTATTAATTTAGTCTCAAAAATCCTGGCTTTGGCGCAGGTACTACGCATCTCCTGCAACGTGTCGCCCCGCTTGGCCAGCGGGCAGCGTGGAATGTGAAGTCGCTTCCCTCTGAAGAGAAAGCGCACAAACTTATTCTTATAACTCCACTGTACACCGTGTCCAGAACACGGGCGTACGGATCTATTGTGTCCCTTTGTGACCCAAGTCACACAGGATTTTAACCGAGTATATCTGTGTAAAAGGCTGTAAATGGCAGCTGTTTGAATGTGATGCTATCGTTTTGCTAAAGGCGGCTAACGCTAACTCTGTCTCACCACTCTCTCTGCCTGCTAACCTGCTGTTGTATACACACACCAGCACCCTACAGTACATACATACAAACCCCATTCCACCACTGTGATTACGTGCTTGTGCGAACTGTATAACTCGCTCCAGACTTTCGTGTATAAACTGCTGCTACAATGTACCGTTGCCGGCAAGCTAAATGCTAGCTACGCTCCTTTGTTTTTAGCATACGGCTAAACTTCCGCCCGGGCCCCGCTAGCCTCAAAGCTAACTCTGACAACGCCGTTGCTCCTACTACTGCTCCCACTATACGCTGCTTCTCTACCGTTAAAACTAGTACCACTCTGTTTAACCGAACTGCATTCGGTCACCAAAACTCATTGTTGATTGCCTACACCGCTGCTACAATGTACCGTTGCCGGCAAGCTAAATGCTAGCTACGCTCCTTTGTTTTTAGCATACGGCTAACTTTCGGCCCTGGCGCGCTAAAAGCCAGAACCGCACCCCCACTGCTACTACCATTCTGCTGCATTGTCTACCTGCTGTCCAACAATAACACTACTTACTATACTTCGTACTATCCTATCCCACTCTGATTCTGTGTTCTGACGATCATAAGGCGCCAGCCGTCTCGGCATACTGCTAAACGGGCCGCACCTCTTATTGTCTAAACACAAAATTGCTTTCCGGTCCCGGCACTACTTCCGGGACCACATTGCTGCTGTCTTGACTTTTACCCTGCACCACGTCTCATGATCAAGTGATTGGCTGTGGTTGTAACGTTAACACTGTTTTGGCTGTTGTCCCTTGCTGTTTCTGTTCCAACTAAAATCTCTACTTTGCCAAACTTGATGTTTGATTGTACTAAACTAATACGCTAATTCCGCCCCTCCTTGCACTAAACTAAAACGAATCATTTTAATTCCGCCCCCTTCTGCATGTCATATTGTTTTTATTAGAACACATTACTGCTATACGTAACAACAGCTAATACTCTGCTTTCTGCTTCTCCTCTTAAGCATAATTGTTAGGCTACATTACTGCGTTGACCAAGTTTCACACTGTAACTCTGCTACTTCTAGCGCATGTTGCTATTAGAACACATTACTGCTATACATAACAAAAGCTAACGCTCTGTTTCTGCTTCTCCTCTTAAACATAATTGTTAAGCTACATTGCTGCATTAGCCAAGGTTAATGCTGTAAACTCTGCTCTCCTTCTGCTGCATGTCGCTGGTGATACGCATTCTATGCTTTATTCCTGCTCACTCACTACTGCTAGTTTACAGTAACACATCTGTGTGGTGATTTAACAAACACTGCACTCCCACACACCCCCCCCCCCTCCTTGCCACTGATAATAACACATTGCTGTGGTAACTAATCCTATTCTGTACTCCTGCTCCTGCATGATGCGCGTTATTGTTGAACCACATCGGCGTGTGATCTGACAGATACTGCACTCCCACCTAGTGGTGAAACTAACACTCTACTCTGCCAAACTCTATGTTTGATTGTACTACATCAAAACTAATACTCTATTTCTAACCCTCACTGTCACTAAAACTGCATTACCTTGCCTCAGCCTGCTGCCTTTTTGCTACTGCTTACTTGAGCTGCGTCTAAAGCTACGCCGCGGCCCAAAACGCAAGTGCGTACCAAACGCAAGTGCGCGACCAAACGCAAGTGCGCGACCAAACGCAAGTGCGCGACCAAACGCAAGTGCGCGACCAAGTGCGCGACGCAAGTGCGCGACCGAACGCAAGTGCGCGACCGAACGCAAGTGCGCGACCGAACGCAAGTGCGCGACCGAACGCAAGTGCGCGACCGAACGCAAGTGCGCGACCGAACGCAAGTGCGCGACCGAACGCAAGTGCGCGACCGAACGCAAGTGCGCGACCGAACGCAAGTGCGCGACAAACGCAAGTGCGAGACCGAACGCAAGTGCGAGACCGAACGCAAGTGCGAGACCGAACGCAAGTGCGAGACCGAACGCAAGTGCGAGACCGAACGCAAGTGCGAGACCGAACGCAAGTGCGAGACCGAACGCAAGTGCGAGACCGAACGCAAGTGCGAGACCGAACGCAAGTGCGAGACCGAACGCAAGTGCGAGACCGAACGCAAGTGCGAGACCGAACGCAAGTGCGAGACCGAACGCAAGTGCGAGACCGAACGCAAGTGCGAGACCGAACGCAAGTGCGAGACCGAACGCAAGTGCGAGACCGAACGCAAGTGCGAGACCGAACGCAAGTGCGAGACCAAACGCAAGTGCGAGACCAAACGCAAGTGCGAGACCAAACGCAAGTGCGAGACCAAACGCAAGTGCGAGACCAAACGCAAGTGCGAGACCAAACGCAAGTGCGAGACCAAACGCAAGTGCGAGACCAAACGCAAGTGCGAGACCAAACGCAAGTGCGAGACCAAACGCAAGTGCGAGACCAAACGCAAGTGCGAGACCAAACGCAAGTGCGAGACCAAACGCAAGTGCGAGACCAAACGCAAGTGCGAGACCAACGCAAGTGCGAGACCAACGCAAGTGCGAGACAAACGCAAGTGCGAGACAAACGCAAGTGCGAGACAAACGCAAGTGCGAGACAAACGCAAGTGCGAGACAAACGCAAGTGCGAGACAAACGCAAGTGCGAGACAAACGCAAGTGCGAGACAAACGCAAGTGCGAGACAAACGCAAGTGCGCGACAAACGCAAGTGCGCGACAAACGCAAGTGCGCGACAAACGCAAGTGCGCGACAAACGCAAGTGCGCGACAAACGCAGGTGCATCCCACGCGGCGTCTCTTACGCCGCGTCTACCGCTGCGATTAACGCCGCGCCCTAATACTGCTGCTGCCGCCGGCGCCACTGCTAACCCTACGTGCGCCAACGCCACTAACCCCAACGCTCTCCGTTGACACACAGCTGAAGAAGTACTAACGCCCGGCCCCTGCCCTAGGCCGCCTACTCGCATACACCGCCACACGGAGAGGACGCTGTAGTCACGGTTTTGACACACACCAAGGTCTACACCACCACACGACCAACAGCTAAACTACCCTCTCTATAACACTGCTTCCCTCCTTTCCCTCCTCCCACCGTGTCGTACACAACACGTTCCAAGTCATCCTGCGCATACACTCACCCACAAATATGAGAGTTTTAGGGGTGGTGGGGGGGGGGGGGGTGTTATTTATTGGTTTTGTGAAGGTTGATGTTGGGTTTTTGTGTAGTATTTTTTAGGTTAATTGGGGGTTATTGATTATTTTTTAAGGTAGAGTGGGGGGAAATGGGTAGGTGGAGGGGGGGAAAGTTTTTTAGGGGGTAGTTGGATTGGGTATGGTATGGAAAGTTTTTGGTTTTGGGGGTGGGATTTATGGGTTGGGGGAAGGAGTGAGGTATATGGGGAAGATATTTTGAAATAATGAGGTGGTTGGGTTTTGTTTGGTGTGGTTGGGTTTGGTTGTTTTGGGTTTAGGTTTGGTGTTGGTTTGGGTAATTGTTGTACAAATATGATTTGGTAGTAGTGTTGTTTTTTTGGTTTTTGGGTTTAGGGGTTAGAGTTTAGGGTGTATGGGGGTTTATTAGATTTTATTGGGTTGTGGGGGTTTAGGTATGGTTGTGAAGGGGGGGTTAGGGTTATGGTTTTGGTGATTGTTGTTTGTGGGGGGGTTGTTTGGAGGTTATGTGGTTGTTTGTATTTGGTGGGGGTGGGGGGGGTTGGTTAGTTTTGTGTGTTGGTTTGTGAGGAATATTTTTAGGGTTGGTGGGGGGGGTTTGGGTTTTTAGGGGGGGTGTAAGTAATGGGATATTAAGTTTGTATGGGGTTTGGTTGTAGGATACATGATTTAGGGATAAGGTAGGTGTTGTATTATGTGATTTTGATATTTTTTAGTGGTGGGTTGTGGGGTATTGGATGTTTAGTTTTGTTGGTTTAGGTTTTTGGGATAGGGGAGATGAGAGAATTATAGAGATTGTTTTGTATATGGGTGTTGATGTTGGGGGGTAGGGTTGGGGGTGTGTTGGGTGAGTTGTGATGTTAGTTGGTTGTTGTATAGGATGAAAAGGGTAAGTGTTTTAAGGTGTTTTATAGGTGGGGGGGTGGGGGGATTTGTTGTAAGGTTAAGGGGTGGAAGAAAGTTTTTTTTGGAAAAAGGGGGGGGGAAGGTGTATTATTTTTATGAAGGGAAGGTGGGGGGGAGGTGGTTGTTGTAGGGATGTTTTTGGTAGATGTTAGTAGATTGATTGAGTTGTATGTGAGGGTGTGTTTGGGTTAGAGGGTTTGTTGGTTTGGGTAGTGTTGGTTGTAGGATGGTTTTGGTGTGGTGTGATTGGGTGTTGGTGATAGGGGTTGTTTGTGTAGGGTTTTTTGGGGTTTTGTGTGGGTGGGATGGGGGGTTGTTGGTGTGGTGTTTGGGTTGTGTTAGGGTTGGGGGGGTTTTAGGGTAGGGGTTGTTGAGTAATATGTGGAGGGTGAGGTGGGTTGGATATTAGTATTTTTAGTGGATTTGTGAGTTTGTATTGAAGAGTTGTATGAATTTAGTTGATTTTTGAGTTATGGGGTGTTGTGTGATAGTTTGTGTTTGGGAGGGTGGGGTTTGGGGTTTGGGTGGGGGTTTGGGTTGTGTGGGTTTTGTGAGGTAGGTTGGTGGTTGGGTTTTTGGTTTGTGGGTTGTTTGATTGTGGTGGTGTGTGTGGTGTGGTTGGGATTAGGGTGTTTTGGTTGTTGTTGAAGTTGTGGGTTGGTTTGGTGGTTGTTGGTTGTTGTGTGGGGGTTGGGGGGGGTGGTGGGGGTGTGTTGTTTTGGGTGTGTTGGGTTGTGGGTTTTGTGGGTTTAGGTTGGTGTGGTTGTTGGGGTGTGGTGTGTGTTGTGGTGTTATGTGTTTGGGGTTGTTTGGGTGTGTGTTGTTTTTGGTGGGGGGGGGGGGGTTTGTGGTTTGGGGGGTGTGGGTTGTGTGTTTTTTGGGGTGGGGGGGGTGGGGTGGTGGGGGGTTGGGGGTTTGTTTGGGGTTGTTTTTTGTGTTTGGTGGGTTTAGGAGTTGTGGGTGGTTTGTTGGTGGGTTTGGGGTGGTGGTTTGTGGGTTTTTTTGTTTTGGTGTTGGGGTTTGGTGTTGTTGGTGTGGTGGGTTTGGGGGTTGTTGGGTGGGTGTTTTGGGGTTGGGGGTGTTTGTTTGGTGTTGGGGTGGGGGGGGGGGGGGTTTGGTGTGGTGTGTTGGTTGGTTTGGGTTTTTTGGGGGTGGAGTTGTGTTGTGTGTGGTGGGTTGGTGGTGGGTGGGTTGGTGTTGTGTTTGGTGGTTTTGTGGTTTGTTGGTTATTTTGGGGTGTGTGTTTGGGTTTGGGGTGTGTGTTTGTTGGTGGTGGTTGGTGTGGGGTTTGTGGTTTTTTGTGGGGTTTGTTGGGATGGGGGTGTTTTTGTTTTGTGGTTTGTGAGGGTTTGGGGTTGTTTGGGGGTTGGTGGTTTTGGGGGGTTTTGTGGGGGGGGGTTTTTGTTTGGGGTGTGTGTTGGTGGTTGTGGTGGGTGGGTGTGGGGTTTTGGGGGGGGGGGGGTTTGTGGGTGTTTTTTGTTGTGTGTTGGGGGGTGTTGTTGGTTTTGGGTTGGGGTGGGTTGTGTTATTTGTTGGGTTGGTTTGTGTGGTTTTGTTTTTGTTGTTGGTGTGTTATGTTGGTTTGGTGGTTTTTGGGTTTATTTGGTTGGTTGTTGTGTTTTTTGGTGTGTGGGGTGGGGTTGTTTGGTGGGTTTGATTGTGGGGGGTTGTTGGGTTTTTTTGGGGGGGGTTGTGGGGGTTGTAGGTGTTGGTGTTTGTGGTTATGTTTGGTTGGTGGGGGGGGGTTGGGGGTAGTGGATGTAGGTATAGTGGTATTTTGGGTGTGGTTAGGTTTAGATATGTGAGGGGATGATGGTTTATGGATTAAAAGGGAGTGTAGGAGATGTGTTTAGGTGTGGGGATGTTATTGTTTGGTTGTGGTGATTTATTGGGTTTGATAAGGAGGTATTTTGGGGGATTTGTGATAAAGGATTAGGTGATTTGTTTTTATTTATTAAATGTAGATATGTATTTATGATTATGTGAGATGGGTGGGGGTGGGAGTTGATGTGGTTTTTTTTTGGGTATGGGGTGTGGAAGATTAGTAAGGTAGGTTGTGGGGGAAAATAGATTGGGAGTAGTTGGGAGGAGAATGATTTGGGGTGATTTTTTAATGTTTAAATTATTTTAGGAAGGAGATGTGGATAGTAGTTATTTTATTTAGGAAAATGTGGGGAAGGGGGTATAATATTAGATTTTGATGTAAGTGGGGTATTTGTGTTTTGGGTATGGGGTGTTAGTGTTGGTATAGTTAGGGGTAGATGGAATTGTATTGTTAGTTTGAGTTTGTATTTTTTAGTTTATTTGTTTTATTGGATGTGGATGTGGGGGGATGGATAGGATGTTTTGTAATAATAGTAATTAGAAGGGTGGGTTAGGAATGGGGGGGATGATTATTGGGGTTGTTGAGTTTTTGAGAGGGGATGATATGGATAAGATGATGAGGATGTGAATGATAGATATATAGTTGGGTGTAGTTGGAAAGTAAGAGGTTATTATAAGAGGGGAGAGATTGGGATGTAAATTTGGTGAGTGGGTTTTATATGATGGTATGAATAGAGGGGTGATGATGGGTTTAGTTAAGGAGTGGGGGGTGGGTTTTTTTTATTAGTGTGGTGGGATTGTAGTGGGTAAAGTGATGAAGGGGGGTTGTTTTTTAAAAATGGGGGGGTGGGGAAGAAGAAAAGTGTTGGGGATAGTTTAAAGTTTTTATTGTTGTTGTAGGATGTTGGATATTGTGATTAAAGAGGGATGGGGGGGGGGTATTATTAGGAGTTTGGGGATTAGGAGTTGGTGTGGGGGGTTGGATGGGGAAAGGGGATGATTGTGATAGGGGATATTGGATATTGGGAATTTGGGGATTTGTGAGGTGAGGTATGGGTTGATGATGTTTTTATTGTGGGGGGGGGGGTGTGTTGGTAGTTGAGTGGGGGGGGAGGGGTTTGATTTGGTGGGGGGTTGGTTGGAGGGGATAGAGTAGAGGGGGGGGGAGTTGTAATATTGGAAAAAATTGTGTTATTATAATGAAATAAAAAGGGATTTGAGGAAATGGGGGGGGATGTATTTATTGGATGAGTTTGAATTTGTTAGGGTTATTAAAATATTTTTGTATGATAATGAATTTATATGAGAGTGGAAGGTGGGAGTAAGTGAATAAATTTTGGGAGGAGGATGTGAGATGGGGGTTTTGTTGTTTATTTTTTAGGTGTGTAATTGGGGATGGGGTTTTATTGAGTTTTGAAGGTATTGTTTTGTTATGAGGAGTGGGGGGGAGGGGGGGGGGGGAGGGAGTTGGTGTTGATAGGGGGGTGGTGGAGTTTTGGGGTGTTGGTGGTTGTTGTGGAGGTAGGAATTTTTGTGGTGATTGAGGTGGGGTATATGGGTGGGGATATATTAAATTGGTTTTTAGTGGGAATTTGGTGGTTGGGGTGAAATATGTTGGGGTGTGAGGGGTTTGATTTGATGGTGGGTATTGGGTGTTTGGTTGTTTTTTTGTTTGGTGTTGTGGATAGGGGGGGGGGGGTAATGTTGGAAAGGAGTAAGGGAAATATTGGGTGTATTTTATTTATTTTTGGTGGAAATTGGTTATAAGGTGGTGAGGGTATTGATGTATGGTTGTGGATTATGTTTGGAGAAGTTTTATGATGGAAAGAAGAGAAAGAAGTTGGAGGATTGAGATAAATATGGGGAGTGAGTGAAAGTGTAGATATTGAGTAGAAAAGTAGAAGGTAAAGAAGGAATGAGAATAAGTATTATTGAAATAATATAGAGTAGTGGGGTAGGGATAAAATTGGTGTTGGGATGGGGGTGGAGGTGATTGGGGTGGGGGTTAGGATGAGAGTGTGGAAGTGATGTGGATGGGAGGGGGGGATGGATGGGGGGTTGTGGAGATGGAAAAGTGGTAAGTTGATGGTTAATTGTATATTGAGGATTGTGGATGAGGTATATTGGAATGATGAAAGTGGTAGTGATGTGAGGTTTGGTTTAGTGTATTTGTTATATATAATTATTATGGTTTATTAGGATAGTTTAGTGGGTGGTTATGTGGAGAGGGTGAGGTGGATAAGAAGTTTGGTATAGTTTTTGGATAGTGGGTTTATGGAATTGAGTGGGTAATGGGGGGGGATGAGGGAGGGGTAGGTTATGTGGAGGTTTATGTGGGGGGTTGAGTTGTTTTGAGTGAGTGTAGGGGAGGAATGGTATGGGAGGGTATGGAGAGGGAGAATGGGAAGTGGAGGGGGGGGGTTAAATTGAGAAAGAGGAGAGATTAAGGGGTGTTTGGTATAGAGGAGTTGATTTGGGGTGGTGAAGTATTATTGTATGGGGTATGGGAGAGTGATGAAAGTTATTAGTGGGGGTGGAGAGTGAGGGGAGGTATTTGAGATAGAGTTTTGAGAATTTTAGTAAGTTTTAGTAGGGGGAGTGTAAATTTGTATGTTTTGAGGATTTGGGGGGTGAGGGGGGATTTATTTGAGATGGTTGAGTGAAGATGGTTAGGGGGAGGGGATATGGATAAATGGGTTTATTGTTGGGTATGTAGTTGTTTAGGGATGTTTAGTTGGGTTAGGGGAGTATGGGTTTTTTGTAGGGGTATGTTTTTTTTGGAAGGGGGTAAGGGTGTGTAAAGGAGTTTTTTGAGAGTGGGGGTTTATGTGAGTGAGTGGTATAGAGTGGGGGTTGTAATTTAAGGGGGTGGGTAATTTATTGGAAATTTTTGGGGGGGGGGGGTGGTATGTGGGGATATTTGCAGGGGGAAATTGTATGGTGTGTATGGAAGGGGAGGTTATACAATTATCGATGATTGGGATGGGTTTGTGATCTGTTATTGAATTTTTATTATATGGATTAACTAGTGTTTGTATTTAATTTTGAATGGGAATGTTTGGTTGGATTAGTGTTAGTATATTTATGAGAGAGATTCTTATTATTTGTGGTTTTTTTTGTGTTTGAGGTGGGGGGTTTTGTGGTTTAAAAAGAAGGATTAAGGGTGGGTGTGTGGTGGAGGTTGTGGTGTTAGGTGGGGGGGGGGGGGGGTTGGTAGTTTGTATTGTATGGTTGTGGTTGGATGTTATTTTAAAAATTGGTTTTTGAGGGGATTGGGGAATTGGGATGGGGGGGGTATTGATGTTAGATTTTTGGGGGTGTGGAGGGAGATTTATTAGTAATTTGGTGGAGATTGTTGGTTTTGTGTGTGAGGATTTTTGTGTTGGTGGGGGGTTATATTGTGATTTAGTTTTAAAGATAAGGATGTGGTGGGAATTTTGGTGGGTAGATTTGTTTTTGGGATGGTATGGGTGATATGGGGGTGGTTGTAGGGATTTGATAGGGGGGGGGATTTAAGTTGGGTATTGATTTTTGGTTGGTTTTGTGGTTTGATGGGTTAAATATTGGATTTTAATGGGGTTTAGGGGTTGGTGGGGGGTGAATATTTTGTTGAGGGTGTGGGGGTGTTGGGGTTTAGGGAAATGGGATATTATGTGGTTTTGATTTGTAAGGGGGGTGTGTAGGTAAAATTGGTTTTAGAGTTTTGGTGGTAGAAGGGTTATGTTGTAATTGTGTGGTTAGGGTAGTGGGTGAATTTTTTTAGAGTTGTTTTGGGTATATAGGAAGGGATAGTTTGGGTGGGTTTGTATGTAAAATTTTTGATGGGGGGTAATAGTTTGTATTTAATTATGGTGTTTTGGTGGGTGTGTTTATGTGGGGGGTTTTGTGTAAAGATGTTTTTATTTGGTGGATTTATGTGGTTTGTTGGTTTGTGGGGTTTAGTGTGGTTGTGGGGGTGGATGTATGGTATTATGGTTTTTGATTTGTATAATGATGTTTGGTGGGGTGTTTGGATTGGGGGGGGGGAGAAGGTGGTTAGAAGGATATTGTGATAATTTAGTTTGGTTGATTATTTGTTAAATTTTGTGGTTTTGGGTAAGTGGGTGGGGTTTTGTTTTTATTGTGGATTATGTTGAGGATAGATTATGTTGTGGGTTAGATGTAGTTTGTAAGTGGTATTTTTATTATGGGTGGTGAATTTTGTTTATTTTGAAGAGAAATATAGAGTTTATTTTGTTTAGTTGATAAAATGGGGATGGGGGGGGGAGATGTTGTTGTAAGTAATTAATGTAGAATTAATGGTAATTGAGGTTGTTGATTAATGGTGTTTTAGGAGGGGTTTGGATGATGGTTAAGGAATTTTTAGGATGTTGGGTGTTATGGGGGGGGGGTTGTGAGGTGAGGTGGGGTTGTTGGTGTGATTGGTTTTTGGTTTGAGGGGGTTGGGAGGGGATTGGGGTATAGAATTTTGGTTGGATATTTATTTTTTATAAATTTAGGTGTATGGGTTTAGGTGGGGAGGTGAGAATGGTATGTATTGGTTAGTATATTAGGGATGGTAGGTTTTGTTATATGTTGGTAGGTGTGTGTTGTTGTGGATTTGGGGAGGGTTTGGTGGGAGGTATTTTGTTGATTGAGATAGAAATGAGGGAGTTGTTATGGTGAGAGTTATGATTGTTTTTTTGGGGTTGAATAGGTTGAATTTTTTGTATTGGAGATGTTGTTGTATTTTTGGATGGTGAGGGTAGTTTTTTGTTTTTTTTGTGATGGTGGGGTAGAGGGTTTAGGTTAGTAGGGTAGGGGGGGGATAAATTAGAGGGGGTGAGTAGGGGAAGGTGAGTTGTGAGGGATTTGTTAGGAGAAATTTATTTATTTGGGGGGAGATTGTGAAAATTTGTTTAGTAAGAGGGGGGAATGGGTATGTAGGGGGGAAATGTGGGGGTAGGGGTAGGAATTGGGTATTATGGAGGGTAATTGTTTTTGAGGAGTTATTGTTTGGGGAAGGGAGTGAGGGAAGGTATTGGGAGATGGGATAATTTTTAAGAAAAGTAGATTGGTTGGGTATAGATGTTTGTTGTTAGGGGGTATGAGTTTTTTTTATAATGTGTGTGTTAGGTGTTGTTATTTTTTTTTTGGGGGGTGTGTTGTTTGGGGTGGTTATGTGTGGGGGATTTTTGGGATATAGAATTTGGGAAGTTGGATAGTAGGTGTTTTGTTGAATGTATTTTGTGTGTAGGTTTAGTTAGGTTATGGGGGGGATTATGATATTGTTTTTGGGTGTGGGTTAGGTATTGTTGTGAAGGGGGGGTTAGGGTTTTGGTTTTGGATTGTGTTTTGGGGGGAAAGTTAGGTTTATTTTTTTTTGTATTTATGGTGGGGTGGGGGGGGGTTTGTTTAGTTGAGAAGTTGGGTTTGGTATGTTTTTTGTTGGGTGGTTTGGGGGGGTGGTGTTTTGTTGGGGGTTATTATTGGTGATTTTGTTGGGGTGGGGGTTTGGTTGTTTGTGGTTTTGTGTTTGTGTATGGTTGGGGGGGTTATTTATGGGTTTTGTTTGAGTTTTTTGGTGGGGGTGGTTGTGGGGTGTGTGGTTTTTTTTGTGGGTTGGGGTGGTTGGGGGTTGGGTGTTGTGTGTTTTTTTGTTGGTTGGTTTGTTTGGGGGTGGTTGTGGGGGGGGGGGGTTTGGTTGGGTGGTGGTGTGGTGTGGGTGGGTGGTGGGGTGTTGGGAGTTGTTTGTTTTGTTTGGTTGTGTTTTGGTGGTGTGTGGTGGGGGGGGGGTTTGTTGTTTGGGTATGGGTGTTTTTTGGGGGGGTGGGGTTTATGGGGGGTTTGGTTGTTGGTGGGGGGTGTTGGGTGTGGTGGGTGTTTTTATTGGTGGGGTTTGGTTGGGTTGTTGTTTTTGTGTGGGGTTGGTGGGTGGGGGGTGGGTGGGGGTTGTTGTGGTGGTGTGGGTTTTGTGGGGGGGGGTGGGGGGGGGGGGTGGTGGTGTGGTGTGGGGGGGTGGGGGTGGGTGGGGTTGTTGTTGGGGGTGGTGAGTGTTGGGGGTGTGGTGGGGGGGGGGTTGGGGGTGGGGGGTGGGTGTTGGGTGGGGGTGGGGGGGGGTGTTGGGGTTGGGGGGTGGTGTTTGTGGTGGGTTGGGGGGGGTTTGGTTTGTTTGTGTGGGTGTTGTGGTAGGGGTTGTTGAGTGGTTGGTTGTTGGGTTGGTGGGTTGGGGGTTGGTGTTTGGGTGGTGTGTGGTGGGGTGGGGGGGTGGGGGGTGTGGTGGGGTGGTGGTGGGGTGGTGGTGGGGTGTTTTGGGTTGGGGGGTTGGTGGTTTGTGGGGGTTGTGGGTGTTTTTGGGGGTTGTTGGTTTGGGGGTTGGGGTGGGTTGTTGTTGTGGGTTTGGGGTGGGGGTGGTTGTGGGGGTTGGGTGGGGGGGGGTGGGGGGGGGTGTTTTGGTGGTGTGGTGGTGGGGTTGTGGGGGTTGTTGGTGGTGTGTTGTGGGGGTGGGGGTGTTTGTTGGTGGTTTGTGTGTGGGGGGTGTTTTGGGTGGGGTTTGTTTTTTGGGTGGGGGGGGGGGGTTGTGGTGGGGGTGTGGGGTTGGTGGGGTTGGGGGGGTGGGGGGTTTGGGTGGGGGGGGGTTTTGTGGGGTGTGGTTTGGTGTTTGGTGGGTTGTTGGTGGTTGGTGGGTTGTAGGTTGGTGTTGGTTGGGGTTTGGTGGGTGTTGTTTGTATTGGTGGGTGGGGGGGTTGGGGGTTTTGGTGTTGTTGTGGGGGTAGTGGGGGGTTGTGTGTGGGTTTTTTTGGGTGGTGTGGTTGTTTGTGTGTTTGTGGGGGGGGGTGGGGGGGGGGGTGTGGGGTGGGGGTGTTGGTTGGGTTTTGTTGTTGGGGGTGGTGTGGGGTGGTGTGGGGTGTGTGTGGTGGTGGGTTGGTTGGGGGTGGGTGTGTGTGGGTGTTGTGTGGTTTGTGGTTTGGTGGGGGGTGTGTGTGGGGGTTGGGGGGGGTGGTGTTGGTTGGTTGGTGTGATTGGTGTTGGGGTTGTGGGTGTTTGGTGGGGGGTGGGGGGTGTGGGGTTTTGTGTGTGGTTGTTGTTGGTTTGGTGTGGTTTGGGGTTGGTGGTGGTGGGGGTGTTGGGTGGGGGGGATGTGTTGGTTGGGGTGGGTGGGGTTGTTGTGGGTTGGGGGTGGGTGTTTGGGGGTTTTTTGGGGGGGGGGGGGGTGTGGGGTTTGTTTGTGGTGTGTGTGTGGGGGGGGTTGGTGGTTTGGTGTGTGGTGGGAGTTGTGTTTTTGTTTTGTGTGTTGGTGGTGTTTGTGGTGTTGGTTTGGTGTGGGTAGGTGTTTGTGGTGTTGGTTGGTTTTTGGGTGGTTTTGGGTGGGTGTGGGTGGGGGGTTGTGTGGGTGTTGTTGGTGGGTGTTGGTGGGTGTGTTTTGGGTTGTTGGTGGGGTTTTGTGGGGTGGTTTGTGTGGTGGTTGGGTTTGGGTTGGTGGGTGTGGTGTGTGGTTGGTGTGGGTGGGGGGTGGGGTGTTGGGGGTGTATTTGGTTGGTGTGGGGGTTGTGTGTGTTGTGAGTGGGGTGGTGTGGGGGTTGTTGGGTGTGGGGTGTGTGGTGGGTGGGGAGTTTTTTGGGTTTGGTTGTAGTGTGTGTGTGTGTGGATGTGTGTTTGGTTAATGGATGTTGTTTGGTGGGTTTGTGTTGGGTTTTGGGGTGGTGGTGGGGTGTGTTGGGGGGGTGGGGGTTTTTGTAGTGGGTGTTTGGTGGTGGGGGGGGTGGTATTGGTTTGTTGGTAGGGTGGTTGTTTGTTGTTGGGTTTTGGGTTTGTTGTTTGGAGGTTGTGTTGGGGGATTGTTTTGTTGTTGGGTTGGGTTGTTTGGTTGTGTGGTGTGAGTGGTTTTTTTTGGATTTATGGGGGTGGGGGTTTTTTTTGTTGTGTTTGTTTGGGGTTGTGGGTGGTTGTGGGTTTTGGGGGTGAGGTGTGTGGTTATTGGGTTGGTAGTTTGGAGGGGGGTTGGGGTTGTTGTGGTGTTTTTTTTGGTGTGGGGTATGTGTAATGGATGTGGTATGGGGTGGGATGGGGATAGGGAAAGTTTTGTAATTTATTATTTTAGTGTGGGTGGGGGGTAGGATAGGGGGGGGTTGGTTTGGGGTGTTTGGATGTTGTGTGATGGGGGTGTAGTTTTGTGGTGAGGTATGGGTTTGATTGAGAGTGATTGTGGGGTGGGTAGTTGGGTATGGTTAATTATTGTTGTTGGGAGTGATTTTGGGTATGAATATATTTTGGTGGGTGGTGGTTGTTAGTATTTGTGGTATTGTGTATAGGGTGGGTTGTGGGGTTTTGAGTTAGGTGTGGGGGTAGGGTTATGGTGTGTTGGGGATTGGGTTGGGGGTTGTGATGAAGGGGGTTGGTTTTTTAAAATTGGGGGGTTTGAAAGTGTTGGGATTGAGTGTTATGTGTTTTGGATTAGGAGGGTGGATAGTGTGATTTTATGAGGGGTGGGGGGGGTTTTTGTTGGAGTTGGGGATGTGTGTTGGGGGGTGGGTGTTGGGAGTTGGGGATATGTGTGTTTATGTTTTGTGTATTGGGTTGTGGGTGGTGGGTGGGGTGGTAGGGGTTTTGTTGGGTGGTGGGGGGGGGGGGGAGGTTGGGGTTTGTGGGGGGGGTGGGGGGGTTGATTGGGGGGGGGGGGGGGGTTTGGATTGGTAGGTTAGTGGGTGTTTGGTAAATTGGATTTTTTGTGGTTGTTTTGGGTATTAGATATGGGGTGTTGTTGGGTTGAGGAGGAGTGTTTGGTTGATTTTTTTTTGGTTTGAGGTGTTGGTTTATATTTTTGTTGTGTGGTTATAAGTATTTTTATTGTAGGTTGGTGGGTTATGGGATTTATATTTTTGGGTGTAGTTGGGATGTGAGAGGGGGGGTTTTGTTTTGTTGTAGTGTGTTAGGGGTGGGTTTTGGGTAGTTGGTTGGTGGGGTTGTTTGTGGTGTGGGGGGGGGTGGGGGGGGGTTTGTTGGTTTGGGGGGGGGGGGTGTTGTGGGTGTGGTTTGTTTTGGTGTGTGGGGGTGGGTGGTAGTTTTGTGGTGTTGTTGGTTGGGGGGGGGTTGATTGTTTTGTGGTTGTTTGGGGGTTTGGGTGTGGGGGGTTTTTTTGGTGGGTGTTGGGGGGGGTTTTTGTGGGGGGTTAGTGTGTGGTTGTTTTGGTTGGGGTTGGGGGGATTGGGGGGGGGGGGTTGGTTGGATTTTGGAGTTTGTTTAGGGTGTTTTTGTTTAGTTTTGGGTGTTTTGGGTTGTTGTGTGGGGTTGGTGTGGGTTGGTGGTGGTGGTGGTTGTGTGGTGTTGTGTGGAGTGATGGTAAGAGAGAGGGGGAAAGAAGTAGGGTAGGATTGAATGAATAGGGGGGAGGGATTTTAATTTGTAGGATATGAAGTGAGAAAGGAAGGAGTATAGATGGAATAGAATAAGTTTATTATGAAAAAATAATGGGAAAGGTGGGGGGTAAGGGGGGAAAGTGATTGTTTGATGGGGTGGAGGTGATTGTTGGTGGGGGGTGTGAGTGAGTGTGGAAGGGATGTGGGAAGGGGAGTGGGAAATGGGGGTTGTGAATGGAAAGAGGGGTTTAAGTGTGGTTAATGTGTATTTGAGGGATTGTGAAGGGTAGTATTGGAATGAGGAATGGAGAGATGTTGAGGTTGTGGGGTTGTATGTTTATTTATTATATATTTATGGGTTTTATGGAAGGATAGTTTAGAGGGTGTAATAGAGGATGGGAGGTGGAGGAGATTATGAGAAGGGCTGGTGGATAGTTTTATTATGTGGGTTTGATGAGTTGATTGGGTTATTGGGGGGATAGGAGGGTTATGTGGAGTTTTTGTGGGGGGTGAGGTGTTGAGTGTATGTTGGGGGAGGTTGGTTTGAGGGAAGGGAGGGGAGGGAGATGGGAATTTGTATGGGGGGGGTTAATTGAGGAAAGGTAGGAGGTGTTTAAGGTGGTGGGAGTGGTTGATTTGGTGGTGTAATTTAGTTGTTGGGGTTGGGTGAGGTTGATTGGGGATTTGTGGGGTGGTGTTGGGGTGGGTGTTTTGGATATTTGGTTTTGGTATTTTAGTTAGTTTGTGAGAGGGGAGTGTTTAAAATTGGTATGTTTTGAGGGATTTGGGGGGGTTGTGGGGGAGTGATGTGTTGGTGTGTAGATTGGTGTGGGGATGGGTTTAGGGTTTAATGGGTGTTTTTTGGGGTATGGTAGTTGGTTTAGGTGATTTAGGTGTAGGGTGTGTTGGGGTGTTTGTTGGGGTATGGTGTGTTTTTGGGAGGGGGTAAGGGTGGTGGGTATGTGTTTGTGGTGAGATGGGGGGTTTATAGTGAGTGGTAAGAGTGGGGTAGTTTTTTGGGGGGGTGGGTTTGGGGTTTGTATAGTGGGGTGGTGTGGGGTGTGTGGGAGGGATGTTAGGGGGAGGTAGGTGGGTGTTGGGGTGTGTGGATTGGTGGGGGTTTATGGAATGGTTTTTTATGTGGTGTTTTGTGGTTGGATGTGGTGGGTGTTTGTTGGGGTGGTGTTGGGGTTTTAGGGTGAGAGAGATTATGAAGTATTAGGTGTGGTTTTTTTGGTGGTTGCGGGGGTTTTGTGGGTTGAAGGATATTAGGGGTGGGGTGTGGGTGGGAGGTTTGTGTTAGTAGGGGGGGGGGGGGGGGGGGTTGGAGGTTTGTATGTATGGTTGTGTGGAGGGGTTATTTTAAAATTGGTTTTTGAGAGTGAATGGGATATGGGGTATTGATTTAGATGTTGGGTTGTGAGGGGGGGGGGAGATTAGTATTAATTGGTGGTGGGATATTGTTGGGTTTTGTTGTTGAGGGATTTTGTTTTGGTGGGGTTATAGTTGTGATTTAGTTTTTTAATGGAGGAGGTGGTGGAATTTTTGTGGGTTAGGATTTGTTGTTTGGATGGTATGGGTGATATGGGGTGGTGTGAGGGATTTGGAAGGGATTATGGTTGGGGTATGATTTTGGGGGGTTGTTTGTTGGTTGGTTGATGGTTTAATTATATTGGATTTTTAGGGGGTTTGGGTTTGGTGGGGGGGGTGTATAGTTTGTTGAGGGTGTGGGTTTGGGTTGGGGTAGGAGTGGATATTATTTGGTGTTTGGATTTTGTAAGGGGTGTTAGTAAAGTTTGGGTGGGTTTTAAGTGTTTTGTGTTGTAGGTTTGTTGGTTTTGGGTGGTGAGGTGGGTATGGTGAATTGTAGGAGTTTTTTTATTTGATGGGATTATTTGGGGGGGGGGGGGTTGGTATTTTAAAATATTTGAAATTTGGAATTGGTGTTGGGTTATGTAATATGTGTGTGTTGGGTGTTGTTTTTATGTGGGGTTTTGGTGTATGTGTTGGGATTTGGATTTATGTGGGGGTTGTTGGTTTGTGGGGGTTTAGTGGTGGGGGGGTGATGTATGGTGATGTATGGGGTTTGGTTGATTTTTGGTTATGGTTGTTTTGGGGTGGTTTGGGGAGTGGGGGGGGTAGGAATGTGGGTGAGAGGTTGGGTGATAATTGTTGTTGGTTGTAGTAATTTGTTTGTGTATTTTTTGTTGTGGGTAAGTGGGTGTGTGATTTTTAGGGTTTGTGGATATTTGGTGAGTTGATTTTTTTTGTGTTAAGTTTGGATGTGTGTGGTAAGAGGGATTTTAATTAGTGGTGGGTAGAAAGTGGTATTATAGATTTGAGATGAGAAAGTAGAAGGGATGATTTTGGAATTATATTGATAAAATGGGGGGGGGGGGGGATTGGGGGAATGTTGTTTAAGAATTTATTAATAAATTGTATTGATATAGGTAGGTAGGTTAGGGGGGGTAAGGTGTTTTAGAGTGGTTGGATGTTTGATTATGTATTTGTTAGGATGTGGGGTTAGTGGGGGGGGTGGTGTGGGTAGGGTGGTGTTGTGGTTGATGGGGGTTTGGGGGGTGGGGGTGGGTGGTTTTGTGGGTTGTGGATGTTGTGGTGGGGTGTTTTTTTATGGTTATGGTGGTGGTGGGTGGGTTTTGGGGGGGTGGTGTTTTGGGGTTGGTTGGGTTGTATGTGTGTTTAGATGGTTTTTGGGTGTTGGGGGTTTGGTGGTGTGTTGGGTTGGGTGGTGGGTTGGGTGGGAGGGAGTGGGGGTGTTGTTTGTTGTGGGTTGGTTTGTTGTGTGTGGTTGGTTTTTTTGGGGGGTTGAGTGTTTGGGGGGGTTGTGGGTGGGTTGGGTGTGGTGGGGTGGGGGTGTGGGGGGGGGGTGGGGGGGGGTGTGGGGGGTGTGGGGTTTGGGGTTTGGGGTGGGGGGGGTGTTGGTGGTGGGGTGAGGGTTGGGTTTGTGAGGGTTTGGTGTGGTGTTTGGGGGTGGGATGTGGGGGTGTGGGGGTTTTTGGTTGTTGGGGTTGGGGTGGGTGAGGGGGGGTTTGTGGGGGGTTGGGGTGGTTGGGGTTGGGTGTTGTTGGTTTTTTGTGGTGGGTTTTTGTAATTGGTTGGTGGTGAGGAAGAAGGGTTTGAATTTGTTTTTTTTGTGGTTTGTGGGGTTGATTTTTTTTGTAGGGGGGTTGGGTGTTTGTGTTTTTTTTTAGTTTGTTGTGTTAGGTGTTGTATGTTGTTTGTTGTGGGGGGGGGGGGGGTGGGGGGGGTGGTGTGGGGGTTTTTGGGATTGGTGGTTTGTGATTTTTGGTGTTTTTTGTTGTTGTGGGTGTGTGTTGGGTTGTGTGGTTGGGGGTGGGGGGTTGTGTTGTTTGGGTTTTGGGGTGGGTTGGTGTGGTGGTTGGGGGGGTTGGGGTGGGGTTGTGGGTTAGTGGGGGGGGGGGGGGGTTTGGTTGGTGGTGGGGGGGGGGTTGGTGGTGGGGGGGGGGGGGTGGGGGTGGTTTGTGGGGGGGTGGTTTGTGGTGGGGGTGGGGGGGGGGGTGTGGTGGGGTTTTGTTGGGGGTGTTTGGGGGGTGGGGGGGGGGGTTGTGTGTTGTGTTGGTTGTGTGGGTGGGTGTGTTGGTGGGGTTGTTGGGGTGGGGGGGTGGGGGGGAGGGGTGGGGTGGGGGGTGGGGGTGGGGTGGGGTGTTGTGGGTGTGTTGGTGTTGTGGGTTGGTTTGGGGGGGTGGGGGGGGGGGGGGTTGGTTGGGTGGGGGGGGGGTGGGGGTTGGGGGGTGGGGTGGGTGTGGTGTTTTGGGTTGGTGGGGTTGGGTGGTTTGGGGGGGGGGGGGGGGTGTTGGAGTTGGGTTGGGGGGGTTGTTTGGGGGGGGGGGTTTTTTGGGGGGTTTTGTTGTTTGTGGGGGGTGGTTGGGATGTTGGTGGGGTGGTGGGTGGGTGTGTGGTGGTTGTTGGTTGTTGTTTGGGGTTGGTGGGTGGTGGTGGTGGTGGTTGGGTTTGTGGGGGGGTGGTGGGGGGTTGTGGGGGGGTTGGGGTGGGGGGGGGTTGGTGGGTGGGTGGGGATTGGGGTTGGGGGTGGGGTTGGGGGTGTTGTTGGGGTGGGGTTTGGGTTGGTGGTGGTTTTGGTTGGGGGGTAGGGGGGGGGGGGGGTGGTTGGGGGGGGTGGGGGGGGGGTGTTGGGGGTGGGGGGGGTGGTGTTTTGTGGTGGGTGTGGGTGGGGGTTTGGTGTTGTTTTGTGTTGGTGGGGGTGGGGTTGTTGTTGTTGGTTGTGTGGGTTGGGTGGGTTGGGGTTGGTGGTTTGGGTGGTTTGTGGGGGTGGGGGTGGGGGGTGGGGGGGTGTGGGTGGGGTGGGTGGTGGGGGGGTGTGGGGGTTGTTGTTGGGGGTTGGTGTTTGTGGGGTTTGGTGGGGGTTGTGTTGGGGGTGTATGGTTGGGTTTTGGGGGTTGGGTGGGGTGTTTGTTGTGGGGTGGGTGGGTGGGGGTTTGTTGGGTTGGGGGTGGGGGTGGGGGTGGGTTGTTTTGGTGGTTGGGGGTGGGTTGTGGGGGTTGTTGGTGGGGGTGTTGGGGTGGGGGTGTGGTGTGTGTGTGGTGGTGGTGTGTGGGGTGGTGTGTGGGGTGGTGTTTTTGTTGGGGGGGGGGGTTTGGGTGGGGGTGTGGGTGGTGGGTTGGGGGGGGGGGGGGGTTTGGGGGGGGGGTTTTGTGGGGGGTTGGTTTTGTGTTGTTGTGTTGTGTGGGTGGTTGTGGGTGTTGTTGGTGGGTTGGTGGGGGTTTGGGTGTTTGTTTTTTTTTGGTGGGGAGTGGGTGTTTGTTTTGTTGTGGGGGGGGTTTGGGGGGGTTTTTTATTGTGTGGTGGGGTTTGTTGGGGTGGTTGGTGTGTGTTGTGGTGTTGGTGGGGGGGGGGGGGGGGGGGGTGTGGGGTGGGGGGGTGTTGGTGGGGGGAGTGGTTGTGGGGGGGGGGTGGGTGGTGGGGGGGTGTGTGGGTGGGTGGGTGGTTGGGTTGGGGGGTGGGGTGTTTTTTGTTGTGTGGGTGGTTTGTTTTTTTTGTGGGTGGGTGTTTTGGGTGGTAGGGGGGTGTTTGGGGTTGTTTGGTGGATGTTTGGGTGGGGGTTGTGGGTTTTTGTGGTGTGTGGGGTTTTTGGTATGGTGGTGGATATTGTTGATGTTGTGGTGTGTGTTTTGTTGGGGTTTGGTGGGTTGTGTTGGTGGTGGTGTTGGTGGGGGGGGTGTTGGGTTGGGGTGGTGGGTGGGTTGTGGTGGGGTGGGGTGGTGTGGGGGGTTTTTGGGGGGGGGGGGGGGGTGTTGGGTGTTTTTGTTTGTGTTGGTGGGGGGGGGTTGGTGGTGTGGTGTGTGGTGGGGTGTTGTTTGTTTTTGGTGTTGGTTTGTTGTGGTTGGTTTTTTTTTTTTTTTTTGGGTGTGGTTGTGTGGGTTGGGTGGTTTGGGGTTTGGTGTTGTTTTGGTGTGGTGGTGTTTGGGGTGGTGTGGTGTGTGTTGTGTGGGGGGTGGGTGGTTTGGGTGGGGGGTGGTGGTGGGTTTGGGGGGTGTGGGGTTGTGTGGGTGTGTTGTGGGTGGTTGGGTTTTTGGTGGTGGGGGGTGGTAGTTGGGAGTTTGGGTGTGGGGTGGGGGAGGTGGGGTGTATGGGGTTGGGTGGTGGGGTGTGGGTGTTTTGTGTGTGGGTGGTGTTTGGGGGTGTGGTGTGGGGGTGGGGGGTGGGTGTGTTGTATGGGGGTTGGTTGTGTGGGGTGGGTGTTGTTGGGTTGGGGGGGTTGTTGGGGTGTTTGGTGTGGGTGGGTTGTTTGTGGTGGTTGTGTGGTGTATAGGTGTGTAGTGGAGGTGGGTGTTGGGTGTGTGGGGGGTATTTTGGTTTGGTTTATGGTGGGGTGGGGGGGTGGTTGTTGTGGTTGGGTGGTTGGTTGGTTTGTGTTGTGTTTGGGGTGTTGGTGGGGGGGGGTGGTTGGTTGGGGTTTGGTGTTTGTGTGGTGTGTTGTTTGGGGTTGTTTGGTGATTTTTGGGGTTGGGGGATTTGTTTTAGTTTTGGTTTTGTTATGGGGGGGGGTTTTTGTTTTGGTGGTTTTGGGGTTGGGTGGGGTTGGTTGTGGTGGGGGGGTGTGGGGTGTGGTGAGGGGGGGGTGGTGGGTGGGGGGTTGGGTGGTGGGTGTGGTGGGTTTGTTGGTGTGTGGGGGGGTGGGTTTTTGTGGGGTAGTTGTGGTTGTGTGTGGGGGGGGTGGTTGGGGGGGTTGGGTTGTGTGGGTGTGGGTGGGGGGTGTGAGGGGGGGGGGGTTTGGTTGTTGTGTTGTGGGTGGGTTGGTGTGTTGGGGGGGGGGGTTTGGTTTGGGTTGTGGGGTGTTTTGGGGGGTTGGTGTGTGGGGGGTTGGGTTGGGGGTTGGTAGGGGGGGTGGTTGTGGTGGGTTGTGTTAGGTGGGGGGGGAGGTTGGGGGTTTGGTGGTGTGGGTGGTTTTTTTATTTTGGGGGGGGGGTGGTTGGGGGTTGTGTTGTTGGGGGTGTGGGGTGTGTTTTTGGGGGGGGTTTTTGGGTGGGGTGGGTGTGTTTTGGGGGGTGGGTTTGGGTGGGGTGTGGGGGAGGGTTTTGGGTGGGGGGGGTGAGTTGTGGTGTGGGGGGTTGTGGTGGTTGGGGGGGGGGGGGGGTGGGGTTGGGGTGTGTGGGGTGGTGGGGTTGGGGGGGTGGGGGTGTGGGGTTTGGGTTGGGGGTGGGTGGGTGGGGGTGTGTGGTGGGTGTGGGGGGGTGGGGGGGTGGGGGGTGGGTGGGTGGGGGGGGTGGGGGTGGGTGGGGGTGGGGGGGGGGGGGTGGGGTGGGGGGGGTTGTGGTTTTGGTGTTTGGTTGTGGATTTTTGTGGTGTATTTTTTGGGGTTTTTTTGGGGGTGTTTGGGTTGTTGGGAGGTTGTATGTGGGAGGTGGGTTTGTGGGGTGGGGTTGGTTATTGTGGGTGGTGGTTTTGGGTTGGTTTGTTGTTGGGGGTTTGGGTGGTGGGGTGGTGTGGGTGTGGTGTTGGGGGTGTTTTGTGGTGTGTGTGTTGTTGGTGGGTGGGGGTGTGTGGGGGGTTGGTTTTGGGGGTGTGTGTGTGGGGGGGGGTGGGGGGGTGTGGGGGGGTGGTTGTTGGGGGTGGGGGGTGTGGGTGGGGGAGGGGGGTTGTGGGGGTGGGGTGGGGGTGGTTTTGTGGGGTGGTTTTGTGGTTGTGGGGGTGGGGTTTATGTGTTTATTGGGGGGTGTGTTTGGGGGTGGGGGTGATGGTGGGGGGTGTGTGGGGGGGTGGTGTGTGGGGGGTGTGGGGGGTGTGGTGTTGGGTGGTGGGGGTGGGGGTGTGGGGGGGGGGGGGTTTTTGTGGTTTGGGTGGTGTGGTTTTTTTGGGGGGGGGGTATTGTGATTAATTTTGGAGAATTGGTTATGAGAGTGGGTGGTGAGGGTATTGATTGTATTGTGGATGATGTTTGAAAAGTTTTATGAAGAAAGAGAGAGAAAGAAGTAGGGGGGTAGTTGTGAGTAGAAATATGGGAGTGATTTGAATTGGGGTAGATATTGAGGGGGGTAGGAGAAATGGAAGAAGGTAAAGGAGGTAAGGAGAAGTAGTATTTGGTGAAAAAAATTATAGTTAGGGTGGGGGTTTGGGGTATTGTGTTTTGTTTAGGGGGGGTGGTGGGTGGATTGTTGGGATGGGGGGGGTTTAGGAGAGAGTGTGTTGTGATGTGTTGGGTGTGGTTAGGGGGGTTGGATAGTGGTATGAGGGGTTAGTGTGGTTTTTGTGTTTTTAGGGTTGGGGTGTGGATTGTTGGTATGTTGATTTGTATGAGTTGTGTGTTTTGGTTTTTTGGTGGGTGTTGGTTTTTTTTGTGTTGTAGGATTGTTTTGTGGTGTATTTGGAGATGAGGGGAGGTGTTTTGAGAGGTTGGGTTTGGTTTTGGGATAGTGTGGGTTTTGGGTGGTTGAGTGGGTATTTTGGGGTAGGTGTGGGGTTGGTTTGTGGTGGTTTGTGGGGGGGTGGGGGTGGAGGGTGTTTGGGGGTAGTTGGGGGTTGTGGTTTGGGAGTGGTGTGGGGTATTTTGTTGGGGGGTTTTGTTGTGATAGGTAGGAGTGATTTTTTGGGGTGTTTGTTGTGGGGTTGTTTGGTGTGTGAAGTATTTGTTGTTGAATGGGGTATGGGAGAAGGGTTGGATAGTGTAGTAGGGGGGTGGTGTGTTTGAGGGTGGATTTGGATAGTGTGGGGTTGGAGATGTTATGGTAAGTTTGAGTAGGAGTGTAAATGGTAGGGTGTTTGGGTAGGGGGGGGTTGTGGGGGGAGGTGATGAGTGGTTGAGTGAAGATGGTTAGGGGGTTGGGTTTATTATATGGGGTTTATTGTTGGGTATGTGTGTTGTTTATGTTGGTTTGGTTGTTTGGGGAGGTAGGGTTGGTTGTTGGGGGTTGTTTGTTGGTGGTAAGGGTAAGGGTGGTAATGGAGTTTTTGTTTGATAGATGTGGGGGGGTGGGATGAGTGTGGGGGGTTTGAGGGGGGTATTTTTGTGGGGGGGGGGGTTATGTTATGGGTTTTGGGGGGTGGTGTGGGGTTTGGTTGGTGTATGTGGTGGGGGTATGTTGGTTGGGGTGGGATTTGGTGAGTGGGTTAGTGGGGGTGGGAGTTTTGAATTTTTTTATATGGAAAGGAGAATTGTGGTTTGGTTTGTTTGGTTTTGATGGATGTTTTGGGTTTAGTGGGGGTTTTTGTTGTTGTGAGTGTTGTGGTTTTTTTGGTGGAGGGGGGTTGTGTTGGTTAGATTTGTGGTGGGGGGGGTGGTGGGGGTGGGGGTGTAGTAGGGGGGGGTGGGTGTTGGGTGGGTTTGGTTGTGGGTGTGGTTGGTGTTTTTTGGGTGTGAGGGGTTTTGTGTGGGTAGTGTTGTGATATTTTTGGGGGGGTGGTTGGAGAGGTTGGTTTTTTGTGGGTGAGTTGTGGGTTGGGTGTTGAATGGGGTATTTTTTGTTGGGGGGGTTATTGTTGTGTTGTAGGGGTTGTTGGTAGGTGTGGTGGTTGTTGTGGGAGGTTTTGGGGTGTGGTGGGGATGGGGTGTTATGGGGTGGTTGTGGTTTTGGATAGGGGGAATTTATGGGTGGGGTATTGTTTTTGGTTGGGGTGTTGTTGGGTTGAGGGTGGTGTTGTATATTGGGGTTTTTTTGGTTTAGGGGGGGGTGGGGGTTTTTTGTGGTGGGGTGGGGGGTTGGGGGGAGGTTGGGGTTATGTTGGGGGTTGGTGTTGGTTAGGGGTGGTTGTTTTTTGGGTGTTTGAGTTTGTTGGTTGAAGGGGTGTGTGTAATTGGGTGGGTTGGGTTAGGTGATTTTTAGTGTGGTTTGTTATTGAAGGGATTATGTTGGTGTTTTTTTTAAAATATTTGTTATTTGAAGATGGTGTTGGTTATTAATATGTGTTGTGGGGTGGTGGTGTTTTTATGTGGGGGTTTTGTTAGATGTTTTTATTTGGGATTTTGTGGTTTGTTGGTTTGTGGGGGTTTAGGGTTGGATGTGGGGTATGTTTGTATGATGGGTTGGGTTTGATTTGGGGGGTATATGGATGAGTTTTGGGGGTGTTGGGGTGGGGGGGGGGGGGTGGTTGGTGGTTAGGATTGATGGTGAATTTAGTTGTGGTAGATAATGTATATAAATTTTGTGGTTTTGGGTAAGGGGGTTGGTGGTTTTTTTTGTTTGGGGGATGGTTGTGATTTGTTGTTTTGTGTGATAGTTTGGATTGTGTGTTATAGTTTTGTGATTTATGGGTGGTAGTATTTTGTTGATTTGAGATGAATTTTTATGTTATATTTTGAATTTATTTTTTTGTTTGGAGGGGGGAGTTGTGTGTGGGGATGTATTAATTATTATATGTAATGTTTTGTGAGTTGATGATAAAGGGTGTTGTTTGGTTGGTGTGGTGAGTTTTTGGGTTTATGTTGTGGGTGTTGGGGGGGGTGGTGTGTGAGTGTGTTTGTGGGTGGATTGGGTTGAGGTGTGGAGGGGGAGGGGGATGGGATTTGTTGTAATTTTTGGTGGTGTTTTGTTAAGTTTATTTGGTGGTGTAGGGGTTGAGTGGGGAGGTGTAGTTGGGGATGTAGTGTGTTGTATTGTTTTGGTTGGTGTTTGGTTTATGTTGTTAGTTGTGGATTGGAGTGGTTGGGTTGGGTGGGTGGTTGGGTTTGGGGTGTGATTTGTTATTGGTTTGGTTGTTGGTGTTGGTTTGATTGGGGTGGGGTTAGTGGGTGGGTTTTGTGTGTTGTATGGTTTGTTTGGTGTAGTGTTGGATGGGTGTGGGTGTGTTTTTTTTGGGGTTGGGTGTAGATGGGTGTGGTTGGGGTGTGGGTTGGGGGGGGGGTGTTTGTTTGTGGTTTAGGTTGGTTGTTGGTGTGGTGGTGGTGTTATTGTTGTTGTGTTTTGGGGGGGTGTTTGGTTTAGGTGGTTTTGGATGTGGTGGGGTTGGGGTTTGGGTGGGGGGGTTTAGTGGGGGGGTGGGTGATGGGGGTTGGGGTGGTTGGGTTTGTGGTGGTGTGTTTGGGTGGGGTTTTGGGGTGTTGTTGGGGTGTGGTTGTTATTTTGTTTTTGTTAGTGTGTTGGGGGGGTAGTGGGGGGTTGGGTGGTTGGGGTGGGTGGGTGTGTTGGTTGGGGGTGGTGGTGGTTTGTGTTTGGTGGGGGGTGGGGTGTGGGTTGGGGTGGTGTGGTGTTGGTGTGTGGGTTGGGGATGGGGGTGTGGGGGGGGGTGGTTTGGTGGGTTGTTTGGGTTTTGAGTGGGTGTTGTGGGTGTGGGGTGTTGTTTTGGGTTGGGTGGGGGGGTGGGTTGGGTGGGTTGGGGGGGGTGGGGGTGGGGGTGGGTGTGGGGGGTTGGGGGGGGTTTGTTGTGTTTTGTTGTGGTGTGGTGGTTGGTGGGGTGGGGGGGGTTGTTGTTGGGGTGTGGTGGGGGGGGGGTTTTTTGGTGGGGGGGGGGGGGGGGGGTGGGGTGTTGTTGGGGGGGTTTGTTGGGTTTGTTGGGGGTGGGGGGGGGGTGGTTGTTGTGTTGTTGGGTGGGGGGTTTGTGTGGTTGTGTTGGGTTGGGGGGGGGGTGGGGGGGGTGGGGTGGGGTGGTGGGGGGGGGTGTGGGGTGGGGGTGTGTGTGGGTGTGTTGGTGTTGTGGGGGGTTGGGGGGTGGGGGGGGGGGGGGGGTTGGGTGGGTGGGGGGGGGGGGTGGGGGGGGGTGGGGTGGGGTGTTGGGTGTGTGTTTTGGGGTTGTGGGGTTTGGGTGGTGTGGGGGGTGGGGGGGTGTGGTGTTGGGTGGGGGGTTGTTTGGGGGGGGGGGGGTTTGTTGGGGGGGGGGTTTTGTTGTTTGGTGGGAGGTGTGGGGTTGGTTGGGGGTGGTGGGGTTGGTGTGGAGGTTGTTGGGTTGTGTGTGTGGTTGGGTGGGTGGGGGGTGGTGTGGGGGGGGTTTGTGGGGTTGTGGGGGGGGGTGTGTGGGTTGTTTGGGGTGGGGGGTGGGGGGTGGTTGGTGTGGGGTGGGGTGTGGGGTGGGTCGGGTGGGTGTTGTGGGGGTGTGGTGTGGGTTGTGGGGGGGGGGTGGGGGGGGGGGGGGGGGGTGTTGGGGGTGGGGGTGGGGGGGGGGGGGGGTTTTGGGGTGGGGGTGTGGTGTTTTGTGTTGTGTGGGGGGGGGGGTTTGGGTGTTGTTTTGGTGGGTGTTGGGGGTGGGGTTGTGTGTGGTTGGTTGTTGTGTTGGTGGGTTGGGGGTTTGGTTTTTTGGGTGTTTGTGGGTGGGGGTGGGGGTGGGGGGGTTTGGGTTGGGGTGGGGTTGTGGGGGGGTGGTGGGGGTTGGTTGGGTGGGGTTGTGGTTTGTGGGGTTTGTGGGGTTGGTTTGGGGTGTGTTGGGTTGGGGGTTGGGTGTGGTTTGTTTTGTGGGTGGGGTGGGGTGGGGGTGGTATTGTTGGTGGGTGGGGGGGTGTGGGGTTGTTTGGTGGTTGGGGTTGGGTTTTTTTTTTTGTTTGGTTGGTGGGGTGTGTGGTGGGGTGTGGTGGTGGTGTGGTGGTTTGTGTGTGGGTGTGGTTGTGGGTGGGGTGTGTTTTTGTGGGGTGGGGGGGGTTTGGTGGGGGTGTGGTGGGGTGTGTTGGGGGGGGGGGGGGGGTGTGGGGAGGGGGTTTGTGTGGGGGGTTTTGGGTTTTGGTTTGTGGTTGTTGGGTTTTGGGTGGTTGTTGGTGGTTTGGGTGGGGGGTTTGTTGTTTGTTTTTTGGTGGGGCGTTGGGGTTTTATGGTGTTGTTGTTGGTGGTTGTGGGGGTTGGTGTGGTGGGGTTTTGGTTGTGGGGTGTGTGTGGTGTTGGTTGGGGGGGGGGTGGGGGGTGTGGGTGGGGGGTGTTGTGGTGGGTGTGGTGTTGGGGGGGGTGGGTTGTGGGGTGTGTGGTGGTGGTGGTGGTTGGGTGGGGGGGGTGTTTTGGGGGTAGGGGTTTGTGGGTTTGTGGTGGTGTGTGTGTGGTGGTTGGGGGGTGGTTTATTTTGGTTGTGTGTTGGGTGTGGGTTGTTTGTATTGAGGGGGGTAGTTGGTTTTGTGGAGTTGTGTGTGGTGTTGGTTGGGTTTTGGGGTGTTTGGTGGTTGGTGTTTGGGGGGTTTTTGTGGAGGTTTGGGATTGGGTTTGGGGGGAGTGTGGTTTTTGTGGTTGTGTGGAGTGTTGTGTTTTGGTTGTGTTGGGGGGTTATGTGTTTTAGTTTTTTTTGTGTGTGTGGGGTTTTAGTAGGGGTGTTGTTTTGGGTGGGGGTTTGTTGTTTTGGGTGTTTTTGTGGTTAGGAGTTGTTGTTTTTTTTTGATAGTGTTGGGATGGGTGATAGGGGGTTTGTTTTAGTTTTGAAGTTAGGTGTTTTGGTGTGGTTGTTGGGGGTTGAGATGGTGTTTTTTTGATGGGGGTTGTTGGGTGGTTTGTTGTATTGGGTTGGAAGATGAGGGTGTAGTGTTTATGGTTGGTTTTGTAATGGATGTTGGGGTGGTTAGTGGTTGTTGGTATATGTTGTTTGGGGGGATGTTGTTGGGTGTGTTTAGAGGGATTTTGGGTTTGAGTATTTTAGTGGTGAGTTGGTGGTTTGGTGGTGGTTATGATTGTTGTATGTGGTGAGTATATATGGGTTTTTGATATGTAGGTAATTGGGTATTATGTGATATAGGGATATGTTTGTTTGTTGATGGAATAGAATGTTAGTAATGTTAGATTAGGTGTTGAGATTGGGGTGGTGGGGATATTTATGTTTTTTGTGGGTATGGGGGGTGAAGATGATGTTGAGTATGTTGGATGGAGAATTTATTGGTTATATTGGGGTGAATGTTTTGGGTGTATTTTGAATTTTTTTTATTTATTTAGAGAAAGGGATTGGAGAGTAGTATTTTTTTTAAAAATGGGGTGGAGGGGTAAAATATTAGATTTGGGATTTAAAGGGGTATTTTTGTTTTTTGTTAATGGGGTGTTGAGGTGTGTTGGTTATATTAGGTGTGAGATGGTAGGGTGGTATTGTTATTTGAGTTTGTATTTGTTTAGTTATATGTTTTAATGGTGTGGTGATTTGGGTGGGATGGATAGAAGTTTTTATTAATGTATTAGAGGAGGTTGGGTTAGGAAGGGGGGAAAGGATGTGTGGGTTTTTATGTTTGTTTAGAGGGAGAATGATATGATGATTAGAGGGATTTAATGATGATATATTGGGTTGATGGAAGGTTAAGTTTTTTAGAAGTTGGGGGAGTGATATTGGGATGTAAATTTGAGGGAGGTGGGTTTTTTTATATGAGTATGAGATATGAGGGGGGTGGATGATGGGTTTAGTTAAGGAGTGGGGTGTGGGGTTTTTTTAATAGTTTTGTTGGGGGATGGAAGTGGAAGATGAAGGGTTGGTGGTTTTTTTAAAATTGGGTAGAAAGTTATGGGGATTGGAGTGTTTATGTTTTTTTGTTTATGTAGGATGGTTGGATATGTGGATTTTAAAGAGGGATGGGGGGTATTATTAGGATTGGGAATTAGGTGTTGGGGGTGGGTATGGGAGAAGGGATGATTGGTGATATGGAATAATTTTATTTGTGGGAAATTGGGAATTTGGAATTGGAGGGTAGGTATGGGTTATGATGTTTTATTGGGGGGGGGGTGGGTAGGTGTGGTAGTTATGGGGGGGGAGGGGGTTTGGATTTGGGTGGGGGGTGTGGTTTGGATGGATAGGAGAGAGGGGAGAATGGTTAGATATTGGAAAAAATTTGTTTAATGTTAATGGGATATAAAAGGGGGAGTTAGGGAAGATGGAGTATTGTATGATTGAGGTTTGAAATTGTTTGTTGATTGTAAAATAATTTTTTGATATAATAATTAATTTATATAGAGGTAGGTGGTATAAGTGGATTTAAATTTTTGGGATAGTGGAGTGTAGATGGGGATTGTGTTGGTAGTTTATAGTTGTAATTGGAGTTTTTATTTAGTTTTAAGTATTGTTTTTTTATGAGGAGAGGGGGGAGGGGGGGGAAGTTTTGTTTATATGGGGTGTGGGGTGAAGATTTGTGGTGAGGGGGTTTGTTTTGTGTGTTGGAGTGTAGGGTATGTTTATGGTGGGGGAGTTGTTTAGTGGGAGGGGTATATATTAAATTTGTTGTTAGTGGGAAATTGGTGGGTGGGGGGAAATATGGTGGGTGAGGGGTTGAATTTGATGGTGGGTATAGGGGGGTTTTTTTTTTTGTTAGGGTTTTGTGTGTATAGGGGGGGGGGGGTAAAATGTTGGAATGGAGTTTAGGAAATAATGGGTGTATTTTGATGTATTTTTGGAAGAATTGGGTTATGAGGATGGGTTGTGAGGGTATTGATTGTATGTTGTGATTATTTTTGGGGAGAATTTTATTATGGAAAGAAGAGAAAGAGAGGTAAGTAGTATTAGAAGAAAATATGGAGTGATTTGAATGTAGATATTGAGTAGGAGAAAAGGAAAGGAGTAAAGGAGGGAATGAGAATAATATTTATTGGGGGAAAAATAATAGAAAGTGGGGGGGTTATGGGGAAAAGTTTGGTTTATGTGGGGGTGAGGTGAATTGTGGAGGGGGGTTAGATGAGAGTGTGATGTGATGTGGAAGGGGGGGAGTGGGGATATGGGGGTTGTGGAGATGAATGAGGGTAAGTGTGGATATTTGTGATATTGAGGGGATTTGTGTGAGAGGGTATTTGTTGAATGATGAAGTGGAAGAGTGGAAGGGTTTGTGTATTTTATTATTATATTATTATAATATGGGTTTATGGAAGGAGGATAGTTAGAGGTGTAATAGGAGGATGGAGTGAGGAGATTAAGAGGAGGTTGGGTGATAGTTTTAGTGGATATTGGGTTTAGTGGAGTTGAGTGGGTAATTTTGTGGGGATGAGGGAGGGGTTGTGATAAATGGGGAGGGATTATGTGGGGGGGTAGTTGGTGAGTAGTGTAGGGGGGGGAGGAATGTGATGGGGGAAAGTTTGGGGGGGTGGGGGGGGGAATGGGAGGAGGGAGAGGATAGCATCATTCCAACAAGGACCAGGGTCATCTATAACAACGACAAACCCTGGTTCACTGCTAAACTCCGGCAGCTCAGGAAAGCAAAGGAGTCTGCTTTCAGGGAGGGGGACCGCAGCGGCTACAAAGCAGCTAAATATCAGTTCAGGAAAGAACTGAAAGCAGCCAAGTCCCGGCACAGAGAACGACTACAGGAGCAGTTTGGTAACAACGATACTGCTTCTGTCTGGAGGGGCCTACGGGAGATCACCAACTACAAACCCAAAGCCCCCCCCTGTGCTGATGACCACAAGCTAGCTGACGATCTGAACTTATTTTTCAGTCGCTTTGATGCTGCCCCTGACACCTCTCCCTCCCCCACCCCCCACTACTCTAACGACCCACCCATCAGCCCTGCCCCCAGCCTAACAATAGCCGCTAAAGAGATTAAACAACTCTTCCTGAGGCTGCACCCCCGCAAAGCTCCTGGCCCGGACCACGTGTCTCCGGCCACTCTGAGACACTGCGCCAGTGAGCTTACTCCTGTGTTCACGGACATTTTCAACTCCTCTCTGCAGTCCTGCCATGTCCCGGCCTGCTTCAAATCCTCCATCATTGTCCCCGTCCCGAAGAAGCCCAGGATCACAGGACTCAATGACTACAGACCTGTAGCACTTACGTCTGTCGTCATGAAGTCATTTGAACGCCTGGTTCTCTCCCATCTCAAGTCCCTCACCTCCCCCTCCTGGACCCCCTGCAGTTCGCCTACAGAGCCAACAGATCTGTAGACGACGCCATTAACCTGGCCCTCCACCACATCCTACAGCACCTGGACTCCCCGGGGACCTACGCCAGGGTCCTGTTCGTGGACTTCAGCTCTGCCTTCAACACAACACGCGAGCAGAGAGAGACGTGAGCAGAGAGAGAGACGTGAGCAGAGAGAGAGAGCAGAGAGAGACGTGAGCAGAGAGAGAGAGACGCGAGCAGAGAGAGAGAGCAGAGAGAGACGTGAGCAGAGAGAGAGAGACGCGAGCAGAGAGAGAGAGCAGAGAGAGACGTGAGCAGAGAGAGAGAGACGCGAGCAGAGAGAGACGTGAGCAGAGAGAGAGAGACGCGAGCAGAGAGAGAGAGCAGAGAGAGACGTGAGCAGAGAGAGAGAGACGCGAGCAGAGAGAGACGTGAGCAGAGAGAGAGAGACGCGAGCAGAGAGAGACGTGAGCAGAGAGAGAGACGTGAGCAGAGAGAGAGAGCAGAGAGAGACGTGAGCAGAGAGAGAGAGAGACGCGAGCAGAGAGAGAGAGCAGAGAGAGACGTGAGCAGAGAGAGAGAGACGCGAGCAGAGAGAGACGTGAGCAGAGAGAGAGAGACGCGAGCAGAGAGAGACGTGAGCAGAGAGAGAGAGACGTGAGCAGAGAGAGAGAGCAGAGAGAGACGTGAGCAGAGAGAGAGAGACGTGAGCAGAGAGAGACGTGAGCAGAGAGAGAGAGACGTGAGCAGAGAGAGACGTGAGCAGAGAGAGAGAGGCGTGAGCAGAGAGAGAGAGGTGAGCAGAGAGAGACGTGAGCAGAGAGAGAGAGACGCGAGCAGAGAGAGAGAGCAGAGAGAGACGTGAGCAGAGAGAGAGAGACGCGAGCAGAGAGAGACGTGAGCAGAGAGAGAGAGACGTGAGCAGAGAGAGAGAGACGCGAGCAGAGAGAGACGCGAGCAGAGAGAGACGTGAGCAGAGAGAGAGAGAGGTGGCGTGAGCAGAGAGAGAGAGGTGAGCAGAGAGAGACGTGAGCAGAGAGAGAGAGACGCGAGAGCAGAGAGAGAGAGCAGAGAGAGACGTGAGCAGAGAGAGAGAGACGCGAGCAGAGAGAGAGAGCAGAGAGAGAGACGTGAGCAGAAAGAGAGAGACGTGAGCAGAGAGAGAGAGGCGTGAGCAGAGAGAGAGAGAGGTGAGCAGAGAGAGAGAGAGAGACGCGAGCAGAGAGAGAGAGAGGTGAGCAGAGAGAGAGAGACGCGAGCAGAGAGAGAGAGACGCGAGCAGAGAGAGAGAGACGCGAGCAGAGAGAGAGAGATGCGAGCAGAGAGAGAGAGATGCGAGCAGAGAGAGAGAGAGATGCGAGCAGAGAGAGAGAGAGATGCGAGCAGAGAGAGAGATGCGAGCAGAGAGAGAGAGATGCGAGCAGAGAGAGAGAGATGCGAGCAGAGAGAGAGAGGCGTGAGCAGAGAGAGAGGTGAGCAGAGAG